TATTCACCACTGGTTTCGCTAGGTAATGGTTCCATAATTGCTGCTCTATTTCGCATGATGAATTTATCCCCACCCAGTTCATTTGATAGTGTATAATCGTCCTCAAATAGTCTGGATAACGTGTCGGGTAAGACATTGGATATACCAGGCAAATGAACGATGTCAAAATCATACTGTAAGATGGTATCCATCCATGAGATCATCATGAGATTGGCAATTTTTTGTGTATGGAGATAGGTTAAAGCTTTATGATCAGTGTATAAGGTAAATTTAGATCCGTAGACATACTTATGAAATTTCTTTAACGAGAATACTAATGCGAGTAATTCTCTTTTCGTAGCTGAATATTTACGCTCACTTTTAGATAAACTCTTTGCGACGAATGAAATAAATTTCTTTGTACCATTAATTTCTTGATACAAAACTGCACCAATACCAGATAGAGAGGCATCACAACTTATAGAGAAGGGAGCATTCATGTCGGGAAAGGCTAATACAGTATCGCTTATAAGCGCTTTTTTCAAATTGTCAAAAGCTTTCTGATGGTTATCATTCCATAATTTATCAAGTGATTTTTCATTTCGTAAGGAGTCAAGTGGAGACATTATAGCAGAACATTGGGGATTAAGGATCTGAAATAATTTATGAGACCACAATAACGCATGATATCTTTTCCAATTTTGGGTTGAGGGAATTCCAGCACGTTTACAAGTTTACGTCTGTCAACGCTGACACCAGAAGGAGTTACACGAAATCCCAAGAGATAAATTTCCTTTTGAAAGAAACAGCACTTATCAGGATTCAACTTCAGGTTTACTTCAGTTAATCGTTTTATCAGCATATTTAAATGTTCTTTATGTTCTTCAATGGATTTACTCGCACAAACAATATCGTCAACGAAATATCGAACACAAGGTAAACCTTCTAATACGATACTCATTGTTCTCTGAAATTGTGAGCTAACATGACGAATGCCAAAAACAGTGCCTATAGGTTGATATTGAACACCACGCCAAGTAAAGCTTAATTTATGTGCATCTTTAGGATTTAACTTTAACGAGTTAAAAGCAGACTTAAGATCCAAGGTTGAATAGACAGTTGCACCCTTTAAATCCTCAAGAAGCTCACTGATAATAGGTAAGGGCATACGGTCAATAGATTTTAACAAACAATTAATATGTCTGGGATCATGACAGACGCGATATCCTTTTACTTGTCCTTTAGCATCAGTCTTCTTGACTACAGTTAGCGGAGTATTCCATTCTGTATTAGCAGGGGCAATTTTAGTAATACCATTATCGAGCCATTCCTTTACTTGGTCATCTACAATGCTTTCCATCTTAAGAGGGACTGGATAAGGCTTTCTATACGCGGTTACATTAGGTGGAGTATCCAAGGATACAACACTTTCAGGTATAGTGCAGAATGAACCTTTAGGAATTGCTTGATTGGCTTTAATAGCAGGTTGAATGTAATCTAACGCTTCTTTGTATTCATTAGGAGGACAGGCTGGACAATTTTCCTTTAATTTGTTTTCAGCTTCAATTGATTCAAGAAGTTCACTCGTATTGTTATAACGCTTGTCAGCTTCAATAACGGCTTCTTGGGAATCATGATCATCATACGAAGTAGGAAGACCATAAATTCCAATTCCAAATAATGACATACAATCAGTACCAATACTAAATTGATAACTGTTATTTTCAGGAGCAAGATTCATAACCTCAAAGACACGTTTTATGGTTTTATTATTACAACCAACGCTTAATTCACAAGTACCAATCCTTTTTACAAAAGTATTCTTATCCGCAGACCGAATGAAGTAATTATAAAAATTATGCTTATTTAATTGGTCTTTACTAACATGATTTATAAACTTTATTTTAATATTATTTTTTCTACAGAACTCATAGTCCACCGAACTAAAATTTGCGCCGCAATCGAATAAGGAGAACGTTCTAATAGAATTATCAATAGTAATAGGAAAGGTAATAGTATCAGTATCAATGTTTTTAAAATCTCTTGTTACATCTTTTATATTTGCAGACTTACAATCAAGAGCTAAACGCGCCATTGACACATTATGGTCCATATTCTCATCTTCATCAACAGACGAGGAAGGCTCACCACCTCTCATTGCCATTCTTGACACCTTATTCCTTTGAGCTTGCTTAAACTCTTCACAGCGGTGACCATAGAACCAGGTCTTACCACAAAAGGAACAAGGTTTCTTACCAGAAGAGGACGAGGTAAAAGGTCTCTTAGATCCCGAAGAATCCTTATTAGAGCCGAAGTGGCTGGAACTGCGTTTCTTGTTGAAACGCTCATTGTCCTTATTGCCATACGAAGACGAGGAGGAACCAACCACAGAGTAGCTACCAGAGGAGCCGGAAGAAAGGTAATCGGAGTCGGAGGCAACAACCAATTGGATCATGTCCTCCAGTTTACAAGGTAATTTCGTACCATACTGAGAGGAAATAGCACCAGACGTTTTCTCCCTCACTTGCTCTCTCAAAGAACAGTAGAACATCAGTACCAGTTGGACACCATCCTTCATATCCGCTTGTCGACGCAGCTTTTGGAAACGAGCACCATACGCACGACAAGATTCATTGGGGGCTTGACGGAGACGATTGACATTAATCATCAATAGGAATTTGCGGTAGGGGGTATCAAAATGATCAAGGATCATTGTTTCAGCTTGCTTCCAGGTGAGGTCCTTGTTGTCCAGATTTTCGAGAAACCAGCTGCGATCGTCCTTGTTAAGACTCATGGGTAGGAGTCGTTCCCAGTGAGCGTTCAAATCCAAAGCATGGGCCTTAAGAACAGTACGAAACTGATCGCAGAAATCGTACACAGAGTCAAAAGACTCAGAGTTAGGTCTCTCCAATGGTGTAGATGTCAATTGAAGAAAAGGGAGATCCTTGGGGACACGAGAGGCATTCTTGTCATCTTGGACCTTGGTTGGAGAGTTGATTCTTTGATATGCTGTCAAAGCATCCTTGGCATCCGTGTAAGAATTCAAGACCGAAAGATAATCCTGGTAGGAAGCTTTGGTGGCAGGACTGGCTTCATCCAGAAGTTGGTTTGAAAGGTAAGCAGCATACGCTTGATTACATTTTTCTTCCAATTTGACCAAGTTGTCATTAGCAGACTTCAAGATGGCCTTAGAGTCCAGAGCAACAGGAGCAGGCGCAGCAGGAGCAGTATCCTGTTGGGGAGTACTATCAGTGTCTTCCTCCATGGGTTCAGGGTTGACCATAGGATGGGCATTCTCAGAGAAAGAGAGAGGAGAAGAACCAGCGAAAGAAGGAAGAGGAGAACCAGCAGAGGTGGTAGAAGTAGCAGCAGAGTTGTTTGACATGTTTGCAAAATTCAAAGTAAAAAATGTGATAGTTGAGAATAGATTTTAAAAGAGAAAAACAATAAAGTACTTTGAGACTGCTTATAAGTTTTATTAAGAGTAAAAAGTAGATTCAAAGATTCAGAGGGTTCTATTCTAACTATCAGTTTGCATATTTATATATGTTAAGAGAAATCGGATTATGAATTTAGTTTGATGGATAAGTTACACAGCACTAAAATAGTGCTTGTAGTTGGATATGATATAATGTATAAGAAAATAGTTCGTGTTGTGATGTAATAATGTATGGGGTGATGAAGTGAGATTTAATTTTAATATTGTTTTATGGTGTGATTAGTAACAACAGTAGGTGGATCACCACAGTCTGCTTTGGTAATCTTGGTAATCATGGCATTATAACTATAGGTAAATTATAGTGAAGAAGATGAAGAGTAAAACAAGGAGGAGGAGGGTCAATGAGCTAATATAAACCATTTTCAATTTGACTTAATGGAACTAAGTATATAACAGAAGAGAAGATTACGCAAAATGCAACGTACTTCACAAAATTCTCAAAAACTGAAAGTTAAGTATTAAACGCATTTCTGTAGATCAATTACTCAAATTTGAAAATAAAACTTTACACTTTTCGATTTTATTGATTTTTTTGGGACTATTTTGCGGTAGACAAACAAAAACCTTCCATATGAGGCTTTAATTTTTTAACAACACTTCCCCTGATTAATGAGATCTTGACACAATAAGCGTTTATTAATAAACTTCTGATGTTAGACGTAGAAGAGTGTCAAAAAAAAACTCCCACACTTACGATTACACTTATGTTTTCATTTACGCTTTTACAATTAGGCTTATGACTCTAAAGATTTTTTTTACATTAATTTTGGGTGCGTCCTGTAACCATTATATGGGCTCTCTATTTTGACATTTGTCTAAACAGTTGTAAGAATGTAAGACGAAGCTGCTGAAATGACTTTTCTCACATCTTTGCAGGCTTCGGTAACTCTTTTTGATAAGGTGTCTTCCTTCAAAATTTACGGCGCTTTACATTACTCTTTGCCACGACCCCGATTTGTTCAATTGGGTTAGGCCCAGGAGAGTAGGTAAGAGGATACACACATTTGTACCCTCGATAATCAATGTGCTCCTTTATATTTTATGCGTGTAAATAGATGCATTATTGTCACTATATAGTGACCTTTTGTATGTATGTCAAAAGCAAGCTCGACAAGAAACATGCAATTCGCCATAAAATTATAGCCTTACTTTTCCATTCGCCAACCCAATTGTATAGTTCCTTAATCTTTGCCAGACTTTTTTTCCAATAGAGTGTAAACCTCTTTTCTTTAACGATAGGTTACATTCACTTCTCATAAAGTTATAAACAACGTCATGGAATTGGCTCAATAAATGCTCGGTCACTTAAATTATAGAAGCAGATGGATTAGTGTATCAATGAAATTGATAAAACTTCTTTTATGATCTTCATTCAAGATACATCCTTAGCCCATTTTTTATTGTATTGTCAATAATGCTCTCAAGTCATAAATGATACTATTCTACCTGTCAGTACGCTGCTCGAATGTGAATACCTAGCTGCTTCTCTGCAGATGATGTACTGTCATATATTTTTCAATCTTCAGCTAAAAAAAAGCCGAGCTTTATCCTGGACAGTATAACAAACATAATTTCGTTTTACATTTACCTCATCCACGCAGGTATCCTCATCTTTTGGCTTTTCTATCAACATAGGAGAAGTCAGAGATGATCCACTCGAGAAGACTGTGTTCATGTATTCACGGCGAGTAGCAAATGTCTCAACAACAATGTAATTTATGGATTCAGGACCATCTTCCTCGTCAATAACATTTCCATGTCTATCTTCATATAAAAATATTGTACTAATGTTAAATTAGTTATCAAAATAAATGCCCAAAAAAAAAAAAAAAAAAAACCTACACTGCCGAGAACCATGGTGACACGGTTTCTAAAAATATACTTTGGTCAGTGACATTACTTTCTAGAAGGACTGTACAGTCAAACCTAAGGAAATTGGCATTTTCACAAAAATAATTGTCACTTTCATAAAAATGATTGGCCGAAAGATAAAAATAATTGAAATTAAAAAATACATGTCGAAAGCTCAATTATTTTTGTCACTGTGACTAAGAATATTTATCTTTGCTAGCTGATTAAATTTGGCACTTAAGTTGATCATTAAAAAAAATCAGAAACTGAAGATTTTGACTTGTTTGAGCAGGCCAATCAAACTTGAATCTACTTTTTAATCTTACGCTTAAGTTGATGTGGATGATTCTCTTTAATGAAGTTTGAAAGTACAAAGATATCTCCTTTTAATATCTCTAAATGTATACATCTAAAATTTTATGGTCACACTATGTGGTTATTATGACCATTATAGTTTATGTTAGTCATCCAAATAGTGCCATGAAAGTATAATAATTTCAAGTCTGATGCTTTTCCTTTAAAAACTAACAGCTTGAATTCATAATACCAGTTCCCGAGTCTATTGCAACATACATTATCTGGATTGGCATCGAGTACTTTTAAGTCGTACTATTTATTGGGGTTTTTTTATTTTTATTTTTATTTTGTTGGGCTAGCTGTTGACTTTTACAGTAGCAAACAGAAAATTTTTCGTATCAGTTCAGATTCCAAGTAGACAATAAATATAACAACAATTAAACATTTGTATTTAAAAAGTGATCAGCAACTGACTGCGATGGCAATACTCTTAAGCTGCAAACCTCTTCCATGATAATTTTGTCCAAATTTTGTTGTTCCAATAATTCAAGATATATAGTTGCCATCATTTCAAACAGGGGCTTCCAATGACTGCGCAATTCCCAACAAGTTGGTGTACAACTCGATCTTACTTCAATAAGTTTCCACTTGCCAGTCTTTGATAGGGTCAACTTTGTCAGTGTCAAGGTTTTTTTGATTACTTGGACGCCAAGTGTGCACTTTTGATCATGGTGTCGATACTAGCCTTCTTATTATGCTTAATAATATGAAGTAACGCACTGCTACACTCTGCCAATAATTTAAGCGTATCATCCAAAGAGTGGCTAACATTCTCCTTTTCGAATCCACTACTAGACTCGATAAAAAACTCCTCATTGTCGGTCACCGTATTTTTCCCCAAAGCATCTGCATACTTTCTATCTGAATAGCTCGCAACATAGTTGTTATTTTCCAAAGCAGCCATTCCATACGTCTCTAGACCCTTTTCACACCAAGAGAATTCGATAAGGTTTGTTTCCTGGCTGAAGTACTTAAACATTGGTATGATATATTTAACAAACGAAGTACGTTTGTGGTTATTATTGTTGCGTGTTAACTGCTTGCAATTGGAGTGGAAATCCGTGAGCGTATAACAAACGATATTCATGAATGTACGTGTAGTTCCAGTAGCTTCCAATCTTTTCTCGTGCTTCCAAAGCATTTCAGGAAAATCCTCCCTACCAGCTTTCAACACGTCATTTAGGAAATCAGAAACACCAGGAAAAGAATTAAACGATGTTAGGTTCTTTTGATCGTCGGAGCAGCGTTTATACTCTTCTATAACCTCTTCATTGATATCTGTCTCGCTGCCCATCAGGGATTCCATTGCAATATCACACCAATCCCTCATCTGCTCTCTATCAACATACTGAATCTTCGGTTTGTTTGGAGAAGTTGGCTCTTTTGATTCAACCTCAAGTTTATACTCTTTCATAAACCTGTCCTTCCCTTTTTTGCTGGAGAAATAATTGTATGTTTGTTGAATAAATGGCTTTATCACCGCTGGTATTTCTAAAGACTGTATTTTATTTGTCATAATTTTATACGGTGAGCTTTGGAAATGTTTAGACCTCCGTATTTTTTTCAAACGTATTTTTTTCATACCACATACAGAAACTCCAGCCAAGACCAGCAGGCCAGTATGTTTGCACCTATTTAAAATGCATCCCTGCTATTCACAGTTCGTGAGTTCCAAAAACTCAACAACTCTGCCTAGGAGGTCGCCCTCCTATAGCAAAGACTAGCCGCAGCCGCAATATCACAATATATCTTTTTCAATTTAGCTTCTTTTCAAAGAAACAAGAGCCACTACTAAACAAACCTTTTTACGTGATCGATTACTTTCATACGATAAAAGAAGTATGTTGAGGGAAAAGAAAAGGAAAAGAATAAAGTGTGTGAACCAGCTTTATTTATAGATAAACAAGCTTATGTCAGGATGATTTCATTTGTCTATTTTATCATCCATAATGTTTGAGCCTTTACTTAAAATAGAAACACTTGCAAACAACTCCCAAGCAAGTCAGTGCTTGGTAATTGTCTATACGTGTTTCAGTGGTAACTTGTAATGATAGTGAAGCAGATTTTATGGAAAACAGAAATCGATCATCCCATGAAGTTTAGATGATATGGCATGTCAATCGACGTGTATACCATCGCGTGATTCTAAAAAATACGTTTGAAAAAAATACGGAGTTCTAGAAATTGCCGAAAATGACGCATTTATTTAGTGAAAATTTAAGTGAACCGCTGCGGACGCTCTTACTAAGCTTATGTGTTCCCACTCAAATGTCGAAAAGTTTCACATTTCAAGATATTCTTCCATCAAGCTGTTGGAAAAAAATTCAACAGCATGCATTTTAAGATTTGCACATTATCTAGTTAGTCTATAACGGAGGATTTATTAAGGACGCACCCAACTGAGTTCGTCATGCCATACCTATGTGAAGAAAAACATTAAGTATGCAAAGCTTATCAGGGCCTTTAAATTCAACCCTGTTTTTTGATGTTCAATATTATTGAATACGGAAGATTTAAAATTATCATGGGGCTAAAACGTTTCATTGCATCTGTTTACGAGAAACCATATTTTATTTGTTGTTCCTAATAATACAATCCCAGTTGATTTCACTCCAACATCCAATGTGATACATACTCTCTGAGCCACGCTTTATTTTCCTTTTTATCCCTTTCTTTCTTATGTCTTTCTAAGCCGCGCATCGTGATTAACTATGGAGAATATCGATCATCAGCAACATAGTGTATCATCGCAACAACAACAACAATAACCGCAACAACTCAATCAACATCAGCAACAATAATTAGGTCAGCAAACTCAACAGCAGAAACAACAAAAAGAACGCCAAGATCAACAAAAAAGTACAAACAACCACTACGTAATTCAGGAAGGCGGAATTTATCTAGGTGGGCGACTCATCCACGGGTTTCAAGACAAATGGAAGGAGATCACATCTCATCCATGATCATTATCAGTGGTATCCCAAGGTTATCAAATTCAATTTGCAAAGAGAGCGATTCCATAAAAATCTCATCAAACGAGGATGTCGCCGAAAAATCAGCAAGCATTGGATACAGGAAGAAGTTTCTAAGCGCAGGAATAATGGAGGTGTCACCAACTCAAAACAAACAATTTCTGTCTAACCTATTTACGATTTAAGAACCGAACAAGCACACGGCCAATCCTGGACTGTCAGAAGTTAAATCAATTTACACAATGCAACCATTTCAAGATGGAGGGTGTTCATGCCCTGCAGGATATAAAGAACGATTACATCTGCAAATTGGATCTCGAAGATGCTCATGTAGTGGTTCCAGTCCACCCACAATCCAGACCATAATTGACATTCGAAAACATGAGCGTAGTGTACCAGTACAAATCCCTTGCATTTGAACTAAGCAGCGCATCGAGAGTCTTCTCAAAGTTGATGAAATATGCAATCAAACCGTTAAGAAAACAAGGCTTTCGTCTAGTTTATTATTTGGACGACATTCGTCTACTATCAAAATCAAAGATAGAAGTAGAGGATCTGTGCAAAGCAGTTACCAACCAACCATTTGGAATCATTGGGATTATAATAAATCGAGACAGAAAAGTATACTGATCCGATAGCAATCACGGAAATGTCTAGAACTCCGTATTTTTTTCAAACGTATTTTTTAGAATCACGCGATGGTATACACGTCGATTGACATGCCATATCATCTAAACTTCATGGGATGATCGATTTCTGTTTTCCATAAAATATGCTTCACTCTCATTACAAGCTACTATTGGAACGCAGATAGACAATTAACAAGCTCTGACTTGCTTGGAAGGTTTTTGCAAGTGTTTCTATTTTAAGTAAAGGCTCAAACATATTATGGATGATAAAATAGACAAATGAAATCATCTTGACATAAGCTTGTTTATCAGCCTATAAATAAAGCTGGTTCACACACTTTATTGTTCTCCTTTTCTTTTCTCTCAACATAATTCTTCTATCTTATGAAAGTAACCAATAATGTAAAAATGTTAGTTAGTAATGACTCTTGTTTCTTTGAAAAGACACTAAATTGAAAAAGATGTATTACGATATTACGGCTGCGGCTAGTCTTTGCTATAGGAGGGCGACCTCCTATGCAGGATTCTTGAGTTTTTAAAACTCACGGACCGTGAATAGCTGTGATTGCACTGTAAATAGTTGTAATCATGCTGGCCTGCTGGTCTTCTGGCCAGAATTTCTGTAAGTGGTATAAAAAAAAATACGTTTGAAAAAAATACGGAGGTCTAGACATTTCCCTCTTAACCACATCGTTAAGCCTTATAAAAGCCCAAGAGGATCCACCCATCTTTGTCCTTGGTTAATAAAGATGAAAGCCAGCCTCTCAAGGATTGGGATGGTCCCTGCAACTCTTGGTCAGGTATGCAATAGTTGGCGCATGGCTTGTTGACGACCTGTTCAAATGTCTAGGTAAAATAAAGAAACTTGCTGGTTTACAAGGTACTTATGTATGAAGACAAATTTAAGTATAATTATTAACACTTACTTCCTTATTTGATGTGCAACTGTAAAATGAGTGTTCGAGGAAACAAAATTTAGGTAAACCATAATCTGTCTTGGACAATATTCGAAGTATAGTTTTTTTTTTTTTTCAGTTTCGAGAGTTATGAGGATACGTGGAATAATTAAAGTGGAAGATGAACTATATATGATGAGCAAGAGAAATCAAGATTGAAGAAAAGGTTATTTTATTACTTCTGTAAGTATTTACAACTCTTCTTAATGAAAAGCAACAACATTTTCCATTAATCGCTCTGTTTATTTTGTGTGTTAGATTTTCTTTCTTGACTTCCTTAGTGCTATGCCTCATGTTACGATCAATGTTGCTGTTTCTATTTTTTTTTTTTTTTTGTATTTGAGCAAAGTCTCATCAGAATTTAACAATAATAATAAACTTAAACGAATTGGTCTTTCATCGTCAGAAGAGTCTGATAACAAGTACCTTGTATTAGTAAGCAAGCCTTGGGATGTCATTACATGGCTCGGTGGCCAATATAAGTGGGACATAACGTGTCGGAGGACACAGACAAGGGGGCCTTTGTGTATGAATTTGGTATGTTGACGTGTAATTTCAGTATTACAATTGAACCAGTCATTACAGGCTATCATCGCAACTCTATTGATCGCTTTGCAAAAAAGTAATCTGTTCCGAACTTAATAACGAAATACAACCCTACTTACAAAGTAGCTTACATATCATATGTAACATCATGTATAAAAATAATATCTCAAACCCGAGCGAAACTAATATAATCAATATTGGCCCACTTCATAAATACACCAACAATTAAATCTAGATATACTACCCTGTTGGGCTCATAAGACTTTACTAGACAAAAAATGGAACGGTGGTATCTAAGAAGATTTGATGGAGGTAAAAAATAATAACAACATTAATAATGAACAAGGAAAAATTGTCTACGATCCGATGGAGGATGTTCTAACACATGTTAATGATCCAAATGTAGTTCTTGAAACAACCGCTAGCCAGAAAACCTACTTGAGTGTTAAATGCCCTGAGAAAACTGCAGAGGAGCTTTCTTCCAAAAAACAACCGAAGCCCAAAGTACCCGATTCAGATAAAACATACAATTACTATAGTGACTTTACCAGGGAAACATTTATAGATCGTATGCTCGAAAAACCTGAAGAACGCGGATTGGTGGCCAAGGTTACAAAAGGCCTAAATAGCAACTATCGCACATCACTAAGATGGTGGAATCAATATAAAGAAACAGAGGAGATTCCAAACAAGAAACCCGAAAGAAACGGTGGCTCTAAAAGCTCATTTACTACTAAATACAACGAGTATTTACAGGGTCTATTGGATAATGAACCTCAGTTATTTTCGGATGATATTATGAAAAGCTTAACTGAACAATTTGAAGGTTTCACCATCTCTAAGTCGCAACTAAATAATTATTTACGCAATACAATGCTCATCACTATCAAGAAACCATTGTTTGAACCTGAAATAAGAAATTCACCAGAAAACATGCAGACCAGATTTGAGTGGTTTACGAAAAGGGAAGGACTCTAATCTTGATTTTACAAAGAATTGTGTTTTCATTGATGAGGCTGGATTTCACATTAACATGAGGAATAATTGGGCAAGATCAAAAAAAGGCAGCCCAGCTATTGTAAAACGACCAACAACTAGAGCGATAGCACATACTATTATTGGTTCTATCCATTCACCTAGTGTTGTTCATGTTGTGATGAAAAAACCTCCACCCAGAAAAGAAATCTACGAGTAAAAAGAGAAAAGCTAATAATGGGGCAAAGAGAAGCGAAGATCCCAATGATAATAAACCACCAAAAAAAGGCACAACTACTGCGCATTTCGTTAAATTCATGAATGCGCTTTTTGATATAATGGATCTTGATGAAAATTTAAAGGAAAATTATACTGTAATGGACAACGCCTCGATTCATAAATCCAAGCCAGTGATATGAAAGATTGAACGTAGAGGTCATAGGGCGATGTATCTACCTCCATAATCATCTGAATCAAATCCAATCGAACAGTTTTGGGGAGTAGCCAAAGGCAAAATGAAGCGTGATCGATTATTGGCGGTAGAATTGCTGATGCCTGTAATGATGTGCTCATCAGCGACCTCTATGGTTTCTGTAATCACTCAAAGCGCCAGATTATTAAATGTTATAAAAAAACATCATTCTAATATATATATACATATCTTACATAAATGATTGTTTTTAAAACGACAAATATTTATGATCAACCTTAAGCGCTAAATTTAATTAGCTGGCACGGATAAATACTTTTAACCAAAATGACAAAAATAATTGAGCTTGCGACATTTATTTTTGTCATTTTTATAAAAGTGACAATTATTTTTGTGAAAATGCCAATTTCCATAGGTTTGACTGTATGCGCCATTATTTAGAAAATATGCAGTTTTATGTATGTTTGTTGTACACGCATCAATTCGAAAAAAATAAAAATATTTGTTGCCTCGAATGTCACAAGGTACGACGACCAGATTATGAGGTAATATGAAAAATGATCACGTATTTAAGATGTGAAGCGTCTGATAGGGTAAAAAAAAAAGAAAGTGTCAAACAAAGTGGTTACAAAGTTTGCAAAATGTTCAAATTATTGCGCCATCCATGAATTTTTATATAAAAAGTCATACAATTTTTTCATTTACGATTCAAGCCGGATTTCGAATATATATCCTTCTAGATGGAAGATCTTGTTTTGCCACAAAAAAAAAAAAAAAAAAACTTGCTGTCTAAGTGCATACCATTTTGGTATCTGTGTGTGCTACCTTGTGGTTTGATCAAAGTGGATGAATAATGAAAACTCGCATATTAGCAAAACTTTATTGAGACCAGTTATAATAAGTAACACAAGTTTAGAGAATAAAAAAACAGGGATTATGTGGTACACACATATTAAACTAATTGGGTGATTCGTTTTTTTCTGTACCTTTCACAAATAGGTAGATAAGTCCTGCACTTTGTGTCTAAACGAGGGTATCGAACGACGACATAGGAAATAACAAAATTGCAAAATTGCTTTTGAATCCAATATAATGGACAATAGTTTTCAACGAAATAAGAGACTTGTGAGGTCTGTTCTTTGGGAACATTGGTGGATTCAGATGGGACAACAGTGGGCTTTTGCAACGAGTCTAAAACCTTTTGCCAAGCAATGGGGTCAAACACTTCACACTTTTCCTTTGTTGATGATGGAGTTGCCCAGGTGGGGTCATATAATGTTGAGTTCGCTATAATTTCTTCAGTGGTCATTGTCATTGTGTGGTTTAGTACGATAGACATTAATGCCGGTGCCAGTAAAGGATATGTACGGATAAGGTCTAATTTTTCAGTTGGTATTGGCAGGCAAAGATCCTTTTTCTCGTAAATATTCGACATGTCCCAATCTGGAAGAGAGGCATGTGCCAGATATACGTTGTTTGTGTTAGTGTTGGTAACCACAGGTGGATATAGAATATTCCAGTTATCGTCACTACTGTTAAATAATGACAATGAATTCGAAGGTGTTTCGGGAGATACAGTTACATTATTCTCGGTAGCTTTTCGTGGAGGTTGAATTCCCTCTTTACATAGAACTAATTGCAAACGAAGTTTGTCATTTTCTGCCTGTAGCTTTTCCATCATTTCTCTAACCCATTTAACCTCAAGTTTTAGCTGACTGTTTTCTGCTTTACACTGACCCATTTCAGCTTCCAAAGTGTTCATATATTCTAATAGAAAAAATTCAAATGAGAATCCCGAGTTCATGGCATTCAAAAGTAATTATACCTTTTCTTCTGTTTCTGAAATTTCTTGCAGATATTTTGTTTCTCAACTGTCTTCTTTCCTTTGAAGGCATCATTTTTAGTTGCTCATGAGTTGGTTCTTCGTCTTCTTCAGAAGGTGAACTTGTGAGATGTGAAGCGGCTGTAGTTTCAGGAGACACCTGTTGTTGCTGTTGCTGTTGTTGTTGAGATTGTTGCTGAGTCAGATCGAGGTTTCCATTCTGAGTCATTAGAAAACTTAGTAATTCGGTAGAAATGGGTTTGCTGGTATCCTCATTAGTATCGGGCTGTAATATCCAGTCCAAGATGGGATCACTGTGTGTATTGTCGTTATTGTTCATGTCGTTGCAAGGGTTAGGGGCAGGTTACTGGTTTCTTGTGAGAAAATCTGACCGAAAATCTATCATTAAAATATAAATAGTCACATTTTTCCTTTTTTCTTTTTATGTCTAAAATGGACCATTTGTACCCCAAAAACCATAAACGTGGTGTCGAAAGATAAGGAAGGGAAAGCATATATTTTAATTGTACATTATAATATTGAGGGTTTCTTATTGGCGCGATCCATCGATGTTTGATCAATGGTGAATATTTGTACTGGTATGAAATAATTTGTAGCACCTGTTTGTTTGGTTGAAAGAATTACCAATAATGGACTTTATGGTCGCACAAGAGACGGACAACCTATACATGGCACCTTATTTCATATTCAGAACAAACTAAATGCATTAACGAATTCGAGATTTTATTTTATTTTGTACAATATGCCTCGAAAGGGCTCTCTTAAACGATAGTGTCATTTGACGATCTGATTTGTATAAATAACCTTTTTATGTAAGGATTAAAAGTCCGGATTGTTTTTAGCCATTTTAGTCGGATGTGTAAAAAGATGTAATCACTCAAGTCGATTGCGCAATAAAGGTTGTACGAAATACAATAAGTTATAATGCAATCCATTTCGTATAAATAGCGATAAAGTTTGGGCAAATTTTTATTTTTTTAATTCTTAACAAAGATCTTTATATTCATAAATGACTAATCGTTCTTCTGCTCATGCAGCAGATATCATTATTGATTACGAAGAGGACTCTTATAGAAAGCAAACACAAGAATTCTTCCATGATTTACCCCACAATATCCAACAATACATTATAAACTTATTTCCTATCGCTAGTTGGATCCACCGTTATAATCTTCAATGGCTTCTTCGTGATTTAATCGCTGGTGCCACTGTTGGTGTTGTCATTGTTCCTCAAAGTATGGGTTATGCTAAAATTGCTCAACTCTCTCCTCAATACGGTCTTTAGTAAGCTACTTGTCTTATTTATCTTTATTTTTTAAATCAATCAATCTAACCAATCTCCTTTTTTTTATAAATAGCACTGCTTTTGTTGGTCTCTGTGTTTATTGTTTATTCGCCACATCTAAAGATATTAGTATTGGTCCCACTGCTGTTATGTCATTACTCGTTGGTCAAACTGTCACTCGTATTACTTCTGTTCATGAAGACATCACTGGTCCTGAAATTGCTGTTGCCTTGTCATTATTGACCGGTGCTATTGCCATGTTTATCGGGCTTGTACGTCTTGGTATCGTTGTCGATTTCATTCCCGCTCCTGCTATTGCTGGTTTCATGACAGGTTCAGCTATTACTATTTCTATCGGTCAATTTCCTAAGCTTTTTGGTATCAAGACTGTCAACACACAAGATTCATCTTACCTTATTTTTGGAAACTTCTTTAAACACTTGCCTGATACCAAACTCGATGTTGCATTCGGTTTAAGTGCTCTTGTTTGGTTATACGGTGTTCGCTTTGCCTGTCAATATCTCACTAAGCGTTATCCCAAGTATTCTACTACGCTCTTCTTTATCAGTATTATGCGTAATGGTGTTCTTGTTGTCTTTGCTACCTTGATTGCATTCTTGATGAATATTGGCAAATCTGTCTCTCCCATTAGTATCTTAAAGACTGTACCCCCTGGATTCCAAGCTATGGGTGTTCCCGCAGTCTCTACTAATCTTGTATCTGCTGTTGCTAGTTCTTTACCTTCTGGTGTTGTTATTTTAATTCTTGAGCATGTTGCTATTTCCAAGTCTTTCGGTCGTATTAACGATTATACTATTGACCCCAATCAAGAAATTATCGCTATTGGTTTTACTAACATTTGGGCTTCTTTCTTCGGTGCTTATCCTTCCACTGGTTCTTTCTCCCGTACTGCTATTAAAGCCAGATCCGGTGTTAAGACCCCCATTGCCGGTATCTTTTCTGCTATTATTGTTTTATTAGCTCTTTATGCTTTAACCCCTGCTTTTTACTTCATTCCCGATGCCACACTTGCTGCTGTTGTCATTCATGCTGTTGCCGATCTTGTCTCTGGACCATCCTACATTAAACGTCTTGCCAAAATCTCTCTTTGGGAGCTTTTTGTCTTTGTAGCTGGTGTGATTATTACTTTCTTTACCACCGTCGAATACGGTATTTATGCTTCTGTCGGTCTCTCTATCGTCATTCTTTTAGTCCGTATTGCTCGTCCCAAATTCTGGAGTCTCGGTCGTATTCCTCTTTCTTCTTCCACCGGTACAATTCAAACATCCAACGAAAAATCCGATCTTATCGAACAACAAAACTATCTTTATGTTCCCCAAAACCATCCTTCTCTTGGAAAGCTCGTGGAAGATCTCCCAGCTGGTATCTTGATGTGTCGTATTGACGAGTCTTTTACCTATCCCAACTCCAGTTATATTGCTGATCGTATCATTGCTTACTGTAAGGAGCATACACGTCGTGCAAACGTTGTTCTTAGCAAAGGTGATCGTGCCTGGAACGATGATGCTAATCCTGTTCGTGATGCAGCCCGTGCCAATCTTCCCCGTCTCCATGCCTTGATTATTGATTTCGCCTCTGTCAACCGTCTTGATTCCAGTGGTCTCCAAGCTATTGTGGATGCTCAAAATTCCTTAAACCGTTATGCTGGACAACATGTTGAATTCCATTTCTCAAACATTCTCCATCCTGCCATTCGTAAGTCTCTCATTGTCTCTGGTTTTGCTAATCAACCTCGTGCTGGTTTTGACGATGAGCATGAAGCCAATGAAAAAGAAATTTTGCCTATTGTTCCTGCCTCCAGAGACGGGCCTGTTCAACGCCACCAAACTAATCACACCAGTACTTCCACTACTGGCGATGATATCGAAGAAGCGGTCGAAACACATTATGCTCAAGATAACAAGGAAGGCAAGACATTTAATTCTTCGGATGAAGAGTCTGTTACCACTGCTCATTCAATTTATCTCCCCCGTGATCGTTATCCTTTCTTCCATTGGAGTGCTGATGAAGCTGTTCGAACCGCTTCAAGAAGTATCATCAACCGTCCTGAAGAAAGTTCCACTGTTGCCGTCGATCATGCTGAACCTCAGCATTAAATTTCAACCTTCCACCCCACTCATTTTTTTCTGTTCTTTACAATCTTTTATTATATCACTACTACTACTTAATCCACTTGTACTCTAAACAAGAAATGTACTTTTATTCTATACATACATTCACACTATTTGCATATCTTAAATAAATCTTTATTATTATTTTCAATTCATATTTTTTTGTGTTATTTTGTGCTGTATCTAAATGCTATTGTTATTAAGAGTATTTTAACCACTATTGTTTAGAGCGGTTTTTTTTAGAGTTAGCTTGAGCTAAAAATTGATCTATAGTAGCATTTGTACTGTGAAGCTGAAAAACGTTTTATTTTGACTTAACTTCGTGCAACCACAATATATAAAAAGGTTAAAAGCATTTGTTTAGCTCTCTTTACAAACATCAATCTCGACTGACTTGTATTTCATGTAACAAAGATTTTTGTATTCAAATATTGACAGGTAAATTTATTATTATTATTATTATAGTACAAGTGTTTTTTTTAAAGAAGAAAAGGGGGAATAATCATTCAATTTAAATAATGTTTGAAATCAACTTTTTAAAGAAACTCTCGTTCTTATTTTGGTCTTTTTCAGCATCCAATTCTTCTACAGTGAAATATCTAACACCAGTGTCAAGATCAATTTCATCCAGAGGAATCAATCTAGATTTGGTCCAGTATTTAAGACCCAGGAACCCAAAAAGAGCAATCAGCGCACCAGCATAAGATCCTACTAAACCAATAGCATCTGCAGGTACAAAATAGGACCAACCCGAAATCAAGATGATGACAATACAAACAACCATCACCAAAATGTTCATCGAAGGGTGACCAGGGGCCATATATGGTAACTGGTTTAAGTCTTTTCCTTGGACAAGCAATGCCTTTCGGAATCGATAATGAGATAAGGCAATACCGAACCAGGTAATCAAGCCAGCAATACCTCCCAAAGACGCCAACACCATAAAAAGCGCTGAGCCAGGAATCCAAGAGGTTAAGAAACAGACAAGTGACACAGCACTGGTACAAATTAAAGCATAAATTGGTACACCACGACTATTGACATATGCTATTTATTTGGGTTATCGTTAATTTTCAATCTTTATATTCTGTTGTCTCATTCTCACTTACCAAATTTTTTATGAGCAATACCCTCATTAGCAAGTGCGCAAAGAGTTCTAGTTGTCACATACATGCCACTGTTACCACAGGAGATGAACTACGAAAAGAGGGTAAGTAATTAGTAACACAAATAGGAAGATCATAAGGGCGCTTACAGTAATCAAGATGACGGCGTTAACTACACTGTCAGCGCCTTTTAATCCAGCCAATTGGAATACCAAAGTGAATGGTGAAACAGTAACATCTCTTCCGCTCAAACTAAGATTATGAGGGTCATTCCAAGGGATTAGCATACCCATAGTAAATACAGAAAGCATGTAGATAAAGATGATACGGAAGAAAACATTCTTGACAGCTTGAGGAATAGCCTACATAAATTATGTGTGAGTGTTTTTTTATAAAGCCAAGGGAGACTTTCGTTTTCTTGTACCTTTCTTGGATTATCAGATTCTCCGGCAGAAACACCGACAATATCTGTACCTGTCATACTAAGTGCAGCTAGTACCAAGGCATTAATGACACCGAGAACACCGTTGGAGAAAGCTCCAGGATCTTTCCAATATTTGAAGCCATAAACAGTACCACTTTTTTTTTAAAAATAAAAAAGGCAGTTTTGTCAGTATTTTCGATGCCAATCTTATAAAAAAAAAAGATATTTACCCAATAACACCACCAGAAGTTAAACAACCCACAATAACGAAAACAATGACACAAATAATTTTGATTAAACTGAACCAATATTCAGCTTCACCCCAACCTCTGGCACCGTATAAATTCATGGCAAACATAAGAACCAAAAATATACCCGACCCTATTTTAATTGTTTGTCAGTATAAAAAAATACATGGTATATTTCCAAAAATACTTACAAGCCCAATCTGGAACTGCTTCTGTCCAAAATCTCATAACAAGCGGGATAGCTATATATATATATAAAAAAAAGATGCAACATGTTACTGAAGAGTTACACCAAGGTTATTTTTATCCAATAATCACTAACCGACTAATTCTGTAAAAAAAAAAAAGTGTCAGAAAAAAAAAAACTAATAAATTAAGCATTGATATTTACCAACTGCAACAATAATAGACCAACATGCCTAAGTAAGTTTTAAGTCAGAAATAGATGGAGACATTCTATGATAAATACCTACCCAATAATTATAACCGATGATAGAACCAAAAGATTTATCAACAAAACGACGACAGTAAACAGTAAATGAGCCAGAAATCTGAAGATCAAAAAAACCAAAAATTAGAACCCAGTGATATTTTCCATGAATAAATGTTACTTTACAGGAATATATGCAGCCATTTCACCCAGTTCAACAGCTACCCAATACACCACGAAACCAATGATAACATAAGCAACTAAAAGACCAGCAGGACCTAATATATTCTACAATTAGGACTTTTTTTTATAATTTTTTTTTTTAGATCCATATAGTTTTCTTACCGGCTTTAGCAAGATTGGCACCAGATGATAAGAAGAGACCTAAAATAAGAAAAATATTAAGCTAGGAGAAAAACAAAAATAATGCGTATAAATGCATACCTTGACCAACAACACCTCCTATGGAAATCATCTGTATATGTTGATTTATGCATTAGTACACAAAATTCTGATTACGTATACAAACAAAACTTTTTTTATATTTACAGCTAAATGTCTTGATTTCAATGTTCTTTTCAAGCCTTTATCACTGTCATTTGGATTCAATGAAGAGATATCACTGGTAGAGGAAGAGGAAGTACCAACTTTTAAAGTTTCGGTTTGTTCCTTTGTCGATACCTCGACTTTTGAATTATTCGTTGCTTTGTACATAACGAAGAAAAAAAAAGAAAAGAAAATTTTTTATTTAAAAAAAAAAAAAAGTTTTTTTTATTTTATAGTCCATTAAAAACTTTATTGCCCGCCCTTGATGGGTTTTTTTAGTTTAGAATGTAATACAATACAATGTTTGATTTACTGGGATCTGTCTAGACAATATGTTTTAATCATGCTATATTATTTCTAGTCACGGATCATTATATACATTTTTTTTTTTTTTTTTTGCAGGAAATACATGTCAAAATTAGACTTCATATGTTTACTTTTTTTTCATTTAATTATTATTTTCATATATTCAAGTTGCGTTGCATTCATAATCTACATAGACTAGCAGAGCATTCATAATATTCGTCATTCTTATCCCATTGACGTGCTTTATTTTGTAACACAATGAATATAGATATGAGAAAACAATTTTCAAATATTGCGTCTTTCAGGTAACACCAAAACTAATCATAAATGCATAAAAAAAAAGAGCCGTGACTTTTGACTAAACAGATCAAATGAACGCAGATCGATTTACACCTTTATTTTTATATTTATTTTTAAAAAAAACAAGATGGTATTACAAGTACAATCTGGAATGTTTATTAATCTATTTCTAATAATCGCTTCATACGTTCATATACAGCAAAACTAACGGCTACCATGGGAACGACTTTAACATAGCCAATGCTTAGGCCAACATAGAAACCCTTAAAGCCCTTCACTTTATAAATATCGTTTGCTGTATCCATGAAACTCACAAATTTGTTGGGATTGAGTAAGCCTCCTACTTGCATACGTCTCCGGATGACTTCTAACGGGTAACTACTCGTCTGTGCCACTAACCCCGCAGTACCACCACATAATAATTCAGCCCATGTCTTGAGCGGTGGTTTGTCCAACGCTTTCTGTTGTTTTGCTGTGACTTCAACATCATCGTCGGTCGGATCATAGTTGAAATCGAGAGGAGCTCGTGTAACGGGAGATACAATGGGATCAAATCGACAGAGTTGAGTCACAACATGATAGGTCCAAAATGATACACCCGCATAAGGGATCATGCCTGCTACTGTTGGGAAGAATCCTCGGTAGAAGTTCAAAATATGGAAGCGACCGTGCTTTCTATCTAATGCAGCTGGTTCGTTATATATTTGTCTCACCATGCCTGACAGTGTAGGTCGTTCTTTCCCAGCCTCTTTTACGTCATAGGCTAATCTGACCCGAATGAGATCTAAAGGGTATGTAAAGAGGACAGACGTCACACCTATATCAAATATAACTAAGTATTCATATCTATTTTTTTTTTTTTTTTTTTTTTTTTTTTTGCATTAATTTTATTTACCAGCTAAAGATCCAGCTATGAATTGTCTTGTGGATGTTTCTTGCGCTCTTGTAGGCATCAACAACTGCAATAATACCTTTAATGTCAATGCTGCACATCAATTATGTGCCAATATATACTTACGGCACGATACTGCTCATAGGCTACGAATTTGATAGCTGCATAAGGAAAAATACGGAGTAATGTAACAGAATGACCTTGAAAGAGACCCAAAATACCAGTCTGTTGATAAATAGCATGTCCCGCTTTAAACGCACCGGTGAATGAGCCTATTATTAAAAAATTATAATTAAGAGACCGTGTTTATTACATAAAAAAAATCGCGAGTATTACCTGCATACTTTTCAAAAATTGGGTTTCTGGATTGGAACAGGATCTTTATTCTATCTAATGGAGCTATACTTGTCTTTGCCTTGAGAAAAATAATAAGCACATGTTTCACATTGTAATCTCCTTTCAATTACCATGCAACCAGCAATGCCACCTGCTAGACCTGACTTGATGACAAAATCCATTGTTTGAGCTTTTTTCTTTTCGTCTTTGACCATGCTTATACAGACAGAAATGAAAAAAGGGAAAAGCTCATGACTAAAAAAACAGGTACACGAGGAAAATCATTTGAGTCTGCATACGCAAGTCACATAAAGTCAGCCAAAATATATAAGTCAATACGCAGTTTTTTTTTTCTTTCTATTGCTGTTCGTTTACTCATTGATACAGAAGCTACAACATGGGTTCTTCCGATCTTAATTTAAAAAAGTCATGGCATCCCGCCACGTTCAAAAATCAGGAGCGAGTATGGAAGGAAGAGCAGAAAAAGAAGGAGGAAGATACAAAAATCGAACAAATGAGAAAGGAATTAGCCGAAGAAAGACAGCTTCAAGATCTCCAACGTATGCAAGAAGATGCAGGCACAAAGTAATAGTTTTAATCTATAAAAAAAAACCTTGTAGCATGCTTTACTAATGTTTTATAAAAGACAACGTTCGAATAAATTAGATTGGATGTATGCATCACCCAACGCAAACTTGAACGGAGCTGCCGATGATACCATGGAAGACTTTTTGTTAGGAAAGAAAAACGTCGACGAATTGCTTCGTGCTAAGCAAAGACAAGAAATTGTAGGTTTTCATTATTCATTTAACGTGGCATGTCCATTCATCCGTTCTTTTTTTTTTGTCATGTAGCAAGCAGCTACCACAGCTGAAGAAGAAAGATTCACACTCTCCAACTCCAACGCAAACACTGAACGTGACATTCAGAGTAAGATTCGTGAAGATCCTTTATTAATGATCAAGAGACGTGAACAAATGGCCCTGAAGGCTATTGTGGATAATCCTTTAAAGTTAAAGGAATTGAAAAAGAAGGAAAAGAAGAGCAAAAAGGAGAAGAAGAGCAGTAGTAAATCATCACACCGTCACCACCGTCACAGATCTTCAGAACGCAGTGAAGAACGCTCCAGCAGAAGGGATGAATATAAAAGTAGCAGTAGCAGCAGAAGGGATGATTATAAAAGTAGCAGCGGCAGTAGTAGAAGGGATGATTATAAGAGTAGTGACCGTTCTTCTCGAGAAGAACGTTCAAGGGGAGATCGCTCTAGTAGAGATGATAGATATTCTAGTAGTAGTAGAAGAAGAAGCGCTTCACCACGTCGTAGATAAATTGTATATAAACTTTTTTTTTAAAAAATATCTTATTTATACAAAGTTGTTTTTTTATTTGTTAATTTATACACATTTATCAGAGAAAGAATATTTAGTTCTTCTTTGATAACCAGGTCTTTAAAAGACTAATTTGTTCCAAAACGGAAGACTTGGCAGTTCCACCAGGAGTGTTACGGTTTTCAATACTGGTTTCGAAACTCCAGACCTTGGAAACATCTTCTTCGAAAGAAGGATGAAGGGTCTTGAGATCTTCTACAGTCAAATCACTGAGAGATCCGTTACGGTCTTCAGCCATCTTGACAGCGGCACCAGAGATATGATGAGTCTCACGGAATGGAACACCCTTACGGACAAGGTATTCAGCTAAATCAGTAGCCAACATATCAGCACTTAAACTGGCCTTCATTTTTTCAGGGAAGATATTCATGGTACTTAAAACACCAGCAGTAATTTGGAGAGAACCGGACAAAGTATCAGCAGCATCAAACATGGGTTCCTTATCTTCTTGAAGATCCTTGTTGTAAGTACTGGGAATACCCTTATAGGACATCATGAAACCAGACATCTATCAGGTGAATTAGCAACAAATACTTTATTTTTTTTACTACACATCGACTTATACTTACACTACCGAAAACACGACCTGATTTACCACGTAATAATTCCAAACTATCGGGGTTCTTCTTTTGAGGCATCAAACTAGAACCGGTACTATAAGCATCAGCTAACTTGACAAAGGCAAATTCACCAGTAGAGTAAATGATCAAATCCTCAGCAACACGAGAGATATGAACCATGGTTAAACTGGCCCAGAAGAGGAATTCAGCAACGAAATCACGATCACTGACAGCATAAAGAGAGTTATGAATATAATCACGGAAACCTAATTCCTTGGCCAAGAAATCACGGTCAATGTTGAAAGCGTGACCGGCAAGAGCACCGGAACCCAAAGGTAAGACGTTGAAACGATCGATTAATTGTTCTAAACGATCAGCATCGGATTGCCATAACCAAGCATGAGATAAAAGGAAATGAGACCAACGAATAGGTTGAGCACGTTGAAGATGGGTATAACCAGGCATGATAACATCAATTTCCTTTTCGGCACGAGACACGGCGACAGCAATCAATTCTTTAACGTGAGCCAAAATCTTTTTGGCTTCATCACGCAACCAAAGACGCATATCAGTGGCAACTTGATCGTTACGAGAACGACCGGTGTGAAGCTTACCAGCAACAGAACCCACCAATTCACCAAGGCGACGTTCATTAGCAGTGTGAATATCCTCATCACCACCCACAATCACAAATTTACCACTTTCCCATTCTGCCATCACAGACTCTAATCCACCAACAAGTTGGTCGCGTTCTTCGTCAGAGATAATCTTGTTCTTTGCAAGGGCCTTGGCATAAGCAATAGATCCAATACAATCTGCTGCATACATACGCTTATCAAAGTGAATAGAAGCGTTGAAAGCATCCATCAAAGGATCAACAGCGCCAGAGAAACGTCCTCCCCAGAGTTTTTTAGGTGCTTCAGACATGTTTATGATATAGAAAAGTTTTAAAAAGTTAAAAAAGCAAACGAAAAAAACTAATTTTTTTTTCTTTTATTTATTTTTCTATGACAGACTGTGGATGACTCACGTCAAATTAGATTCCCGCTTTTAAAAAGGCTGAAACTTAAAAAAAAAAACAGACGATCCAAGGCGGGGTAACCCCCCAGTCACGTTCAATGATCTGTTTTAAGCATTCATGCGCTTGTGAAGGAGTGAGGAAATTTCTAAGCTTTTGCATACCCAGTGACAGCATGTTTGTTTAGTTTTGCCTACTTGCCAGATCTGTAGCAGCTGTCTCCATGTTTAGGATGTGTTGAATGAAGCTGCCTTACAGCCCAGCAATAAATGTGCCTATTTTGTGCCTGTTTAATACATTTTTTTGTACACACTCTTTGATTTATTCATTAAATTGTGATAAAATACATTTGTGCTGTTGTTGTATGTCAGTGTTAAGAAGGGCATACTTTCAACTTTTTATTGGCAAATATGAAAAAATGATTTTCCGACAGAGCGAAAAATAATAAGAGGCTTAAATACACCCTATACTGTTTGTTTTATAGAGTGGACCTTTTTAAACAAGCCTCCAATATCAACGCATAGTTAACAAACAAACGTAGTACCCACTGATAGTTGGCAGTATAATACTCTTCTAATCAATAAATCCTTTATCTAAAAACCTGAAAAAATAAAAATCAAAGTCCCAGAAAGGTTAGTGAAAAGAATTTTTTCCTGCCTTTAAAAAAATAAAAAAAAAATCTTTCCAGCAGGAAAAACAACACGTTTTTAGAGTTCAAGTCAAAAAAAAAAAAAAAAAAAAATGTCTTATAATAATCCATATCAAACACAACAGCAACAACACCACCAGCAACAGCAGCAACAACACCAACAACAACATCAACGCCAACAGCATCAGCAGCACCAACAACAACAGTTACAACACCAACACCAACAACAACAACAACAACAACAACAACAGCAGCAACACCAACAACAACAACACCAACAACATCTACAACAAAATGGCTACATGAATAATAATAATTTACCCAGTTTACATGAACAATCACCTTATCGTACACAACAGTATAGACCTCCATCTAATAGTTTACCAGTTCCACAACAATTAACATCGGAACATTATGGACAAGCGGCAGCGGCAGCAGCAGCAGCAGCAGCAGCAGCAGCACCTCCACCACCAACAACACAAGGAGGAGGCTTACCTTCCATGTACGAATCACGTAAAATTTATACCTGCAATGAGCCAGGCTGTACAGAGTATTTCGACCAACCGGGAACACTACGAATACATCAGAGGTAAAGCCAATATATTATTTAGATATGAATATGTATTCATGAACTATACAGAAATGTTCATGGTCGAGGTGGAAGCAGCGGTGGTGGCAGCACAGAAAACGATCATATGAGATCATCACAAAACAGACCTTATGTAATACATCTATCTATATATAAAACCCAGTGGAAATAGGTGTTCTAACAAACAATATTAGGTCTGTCCTTATGCGGAGTGTGGAAAGTCGTTCACACAGTATGGCAATTTAAAGGTAAAAAAAAAAAAAAAAACTTTTATGCTGTCTGAATGGTATTAATTTTTATATTTTTTACTTTTAGACACATTCGAGAAAACATACGGGCGAAAGACCATACCATGTGAGTACAATACATGATTGAAAAAAAACAGGCACTCATCTCTTGTTTAGTGTAATTACGATGGATGCGATAAAGCGTTTACTCAGCTTGGAAATCTAAAAACGCACGAAAAGATACATTGGCCAGTTAAACCTTTCATGTGTGCATTCCCTAACTGTGGCAAAGGATTTACACAGCGAGGAAATTTAAAGGTAAGTTTAAAGGGCGTTCTTATGTTGCATGTATTTTGTTTTTAATTCTTTTTTATCATTTATTTAGACTCATCAAACCAAAGTTCATCAAATTGATCCTCAATAATATAGATTACTTCTTTTCCCTCTCCTTTTTGCGTCCCAACCCTTTTTTTTTAAATATAATTATACAACTACTATACTACTTTCTTTGCTTCCCAATTAAAAAAGAAAGGACCTTTTCTCGATGTCTTCTTCATCCGCCGGTGTAATAGGTAATGACGATGGATTGACTCTTCTATCAAAATACTTGGTATGCACAGGAGGTGGCCTCAACGAAAGTATCTCTTCATTAAAGTCCCATGTGGAATCAATAAAATCCAATTCATCCCAACTGTCATCATCATCCTCCTCCTCCTCTTCTTTTCGAGCCTGACTTTTACTCATCAGATAATCTCGTTTATTCAGCTCCGGCTTACGTGCTAAATATTTCTGTAATAAATGATGGGATGATGCTCGCTTTAAAAATGGATGGGAAAGTGCTTCCGTCACAGACAATCGAAAGGCAGGATCCTTTTCAAGGCATTTTTCAATAAAGTCTTGTATCGAGGCAGATGGCAAATAACGTACTTGATTCGTATATAATGTTGGGACAGGATCATCAATGATCATGGAAAAGATCTATGTAAAGATATATATATATACATTTAAAATTAATCAAGCCAAAAGACAGATAGTAAAAATCAGATACTTACAGTCATAGGATCATATTCTGCAAAAGGTGGTTTACCACAGGCCAATTCAATACAAGTAATGCCAAGAGACCAAAGATCCACTTTGGTGTCATAGTCCTGATTCAACAAGATCTCGGGAGCCATCCAACAAGGCGTACCTACAAAAGACCGCCGAGCCTTTTTGGGGGTCACGGGTTTCAGTGATTCTATAGCGGCATCCATACGGAGATAAGTCGTATTCTTTGGCAAGTCATTAAGGTTGGTTAATAAATGGTTGCTGACACCGAAATCTGCTAGTTTCACAATCCCCGTATCAAAATCAAGCAACATATTGGCCGATTTGATATCACGATGCACCAATTCATTTTGGTGAAGGTATTCTAACCCCTGTGCCACCTGTTTCATTATACTAATATTTAAAATTAGATACAAATAAACCTTTAAATTATTCTGTTTTACCATGCAACAATGGGTTCTTCAAACCCAAGTTTATGACACCTTGAAAGTAAATCTTGACAAGAACCCGCAGACATTACAGGTGTCACTATATACAACTTGGAGCAATGAACAAAACTTTGATAGACTTCTAATAAATTGACATGTCGAGACAACGTCATGATTTGAATTTCCTTTCGTAAAGCTTCTAATCTCGCATCATCCAGCCCTACTTCTTCCAAGTTGACAGTCTTGATAGCAATCACTGAATTTGTAGGTTTATAGAGAGCCGAATAAACAGATGCCGTTGCACCGGAACCGATGGTGCGAATAATGTCATAATCTTCAGCGGCAGATGAATACCCAAACGTTTGTTTCTTCTTTTTAGAAGGTGACACACCAGAAGAGGAACTACTAGCGGACCTAAGCGAAGATTTGACTCGACTGACCAGTTCCGAAATTGATCTTTGTCTTGATAGAGGCTTCTTGGGTACTTCAATAGAAGGAATACTGGACTGACTATCCAATGTGTTGGATCGACGTCTTCTTCCACCAACACCAAACAGTTGGTTCAGTGAACCCGAGCGAGACACAGTTACAGGTGAATTTAAAGGTGTTAATTGATCCATATTTAATAAATGTGCCTAAATAATAGTAATAGAGGAATAAGAAAAGTGAGCATAGACCCCATCCTGGGAGCTGTATTTATACTATTTTACAATTCTAAATTATGGATTTCCCTAATAAAGTTAATTAGATGATTAAGACAACGGACAAAAAAAAAAGAGGAGGTACAACAAACATTTCATCTAGAACAACAATGTTGACTTTTTGTGTACCCCGGGAGAGGAGGATATAAACTCACTTGCCACTGATCAGTTACCCAAGTCACTCTCATTAATTGAATAAGAGGGGCTAGTATTCATACTCGTGGATAATACCCCTCTCTACCCTGTTTTATGTGTGGTATAATAAACAATCAATCAATAAAGATCCTGTTCACTCCCAATTAACTCACACGCATTTATTTTTCATTGTCATTAACTCCCTGAAAAAAAAATATATATGTATTCGATTTTTAGTAGCACATATTTAAGTGAGCGCTACTTGGACATGAGGAGAGTAAGAAAGAGGTAAAGTATTAAACATAATTTTAACTGATCTTCAGTTTAATTTATCATTAGTGCCAGGTTTTTTGTACAAGTAACCAGCATCTCTTACGTGCATGCAAATTTATATTTTGAAATTATTATTTTGTTCCTGCGTTTGTCGTAGCACACTTTAAGTTCAGGAACGCTATATTAAACTGACGACATTGTTTATCATTTTAAATTTGCCACCCAGTATCTATGGTACCATTAAAAAAGAGGAATCTTTGCTTAACAACCCTATAGTAGTTGCGAATGATCCTTACTGGGTTATACTTTTTTTTTTAAAAAAAACAAATGCAAAATACAATAATTTTATTGCAGTATGAACGTTACTTTCCAATTATATCCAAATCCACGTTGTTAATCAATAAGCACCGACAGGATTTATTGGCCCGTGTAAGCATCGTTCAGCTTATAAGATAATATACCGAATTATAATTTTATTTTAAAGTTTTGAAGTGATAGATGCGTCTACAATGGCACGCGATCTCAACAGACTCTGAATTTCTGCAGAGCCTAAACCAAACTCTACTAATATTTCAATTGTATGCTTTCCAACCTCCATGAATGGCTCCTCCAGCATCTCTGCTTTTTTAGCAGGTGTCCTGGATAAAAAGGGAGCTGGTTGAGGCATACTTGCTGTTCTTGGCCATTGTTCTTCATTATTTGTAGGAGCCGAATTAGGAATGGGGTCTGTGAAGGATAACACAGGGGTTACACAAGCATCTGAACCATCAAATATCAAGGTCCATTCCTCTTGCGTCTTTTCTAGAAAGATCTCTTGAAATCTAATCTTCAAACTAGGCCATGATTCTCGATCTAATTGGTCAGGCAAGGATGTCGTGTCTAAATTTAATTTCTCCACCAAAACAGAATAAAATTGAGGTTCAATAGCGCCACTTGTAAAAATAAAATAAAATATAAGGTTTTTTTTTTTAAAAGAATTTCTCCCCTCCCTGAACATTATGTAACTTACACTGCCATGTATTGATCATCCTTTGTTTTATAGACTTCATAAAAATGAGCACCCCCATCCAACATGTTGGTTCCTCTTTCATTACCCCACAATAAGCCAAATTGTTGCATGATATAAGGAAATGTAGTTAAATAGGATGTTCCAGCTGTCTACAGAATTTAGGATTAGCAAATATAATGAACCTAATAAATTCACACGGTATATTACAAGGTTTGCATCTATCACTTGCCCTTTGTTGGACACTGAGCGCTCAATAATAGCCATAAGTATACCCATAACACACATTAATCCTCCACCGGCAAAATCAGCCAAAATATTGAGCGGGAAAAAAGGTTTCTCACCTTGACGACCCATCATCTAATTCAAGCAGTAGAGTGTTTAGCTAGCTTTTCCGGGGGATAAAAAATCATGACATACACTTAATGCACCCGAAATAGCAAGATAGTTAATATCATGACCAGCCGCTTTTGATCCTGGCCCTTGTTGGCCAAACCCACTTAATCTGGCATAAATAAGACGAGGATTGACTTTCAAAAGAACGTCAGGGCCAAGACCTAATTTTTCCATCACGCCAGGACGAAATGGGTCTAGGATGACATCGGCATGTGTAAGTAACTTTATTAGAGTTTGGATCGCTTCAGGGTTCTTTAAATCCATTGCAATTGAACGTTTATTTCTACACCCAGAAAAATAATAATAATAATAATAATTTAATATTGCCCCCGCTGTGTTTACTATTGTTGTTTGTTTACCTTGATAAAACATCGGTGTTAAATCCCTTGAACTTGTCAATACGAATCACTTGCGCTCCAAAATCAGATAATATCATGCCTGCAAAAGGAGCAGGTGCAAGTCCTGCCATCTCAAAGACACGAATATTGGAGAGTGGTAAAGACATTATTTCGTAATGAAAAAAAGAAGAAGAAGAAGAGAGAGAGTGAAAGAAACAATTTTTAAGTCTCGTTTTTAATGCTGTACTAAGCGTGGTACATGTTTTGATTGGCTCCCCATGAAACACAACAATTCCTTAAAAATAAGAAATAATTAAAAAAAAAAAATATTTGTTACTCTTTTACCTCTCTTAACTTTATCTAAAAAGAGATGCGCGAAAAGCAATCCAAAGCCACACAAGAAAGACATGAGCGTATGCTTAACGAACTGTTTAAATTGCCCGGGAATGACCGCTGTGCTGATTGTACAGCAAAAAGTAAAAACCATTCTTCGACCACATTGGGGGTAGAGCAAGTATATTCAACTTTTTTTTTTTTTATTTGTCAGATCCCCGCTGGGCTTCCTACTCTCTTGGAATCTTCTTATGCATTCGCTGTGGAAGTCTACACCGTAAGATGGGAACCCATATTTCAAAGGTGAAATCAGTTAGCATGGACCGCTGGACGTTACAGGAAATTCAAGTTAGTAGCCCCCCCAAAAAAAAAAATTAAGGCTGGGAAACGGGAGAAGAGACTAACATTTTCTCTTAAAACAGCATATGACAAAATTGGGTGGTAACACGGTTATTAATAGCTCGATGAACCCAAACCCTTCGAAACACTGCTTACCTATAGCACTTGACGACGATCAGTAAGTATCAAACGTGACCACATACTACATTACTTATACGGCATTTTTTTTTTAAAAAAAAATAGTGCGATGGAGAGATACGTCCGAGACAAATGGGAAAAGAAATCGTTCATGGAAACAACTAGTGTAAATAACAACGACATACAAACTGGTATAACACAACCTGTGGAGGATTCAAGTATGAGTATTACTAGTTTACAACAAAAGGGGGATTCAAGTACGAGTATAAGCACTACGGACATGAGTACGCCATCCCTAAGCAGCACAAATAGTAGTCTTTTATCATCTCCTACTATGCAATTCGCGGGCCGAGTTGCAACAGAAACATCCAACAGTGTCAACCCCTTTCTCAAAAATAACCTATACAATCCCTTTGCGACGATCTCATCTTTTAGTAATCCAGGTAAGAAAATCTTTTTATATCTATATATTTTTTTGATTGTGGAAAGTAGTACTAAATAAATCTCTTAAAGTCACACCACCTTCCAACAACCCATTCACACAGCAACAACACTTTGTACAGTCCCCTTTTGATATCAGCTACAACACTTCTGGAAACAGTTATTTTAGTCAGAATAATACTTCAAACAACAACACCGGTAGCAGACATAATCCATTTTATCAATAAAAGCGTGGCATTTAGTACAAAAAAAAAAAAAAAATGGGAATAACTATCACATGAGCTCTGTTACTGTCATAAATCTGTGTGTAATTTCAAAAAGGGCTAGATCAAATGCATTACATACACGGAAAAAATAACGTCACTAAAAAAGATGAACAATAGAATGAAAGAGGAGGACTTTTATTGAATTATATGCCAATAGTTTTTGGGGTGAAGGTTCTTCTGAGTCCATACAGTTTACGAACCAAGCGTGGTAATATAAATGCAGCACCCACGATAAATCCCAAAACAGAGATACCTCTACTAGGTTGATCTTCTTGTTCTTTGGGAGCAAACATATCGAGCAACGTCTCATGCAGGTATCTGTTACGATACGTTCCCAACTCGAGATGTTTTTCCAATTTGTCATTGACCTTCTTTTGCTTTTCAATCACTAATCGCTGTCTCTTCAAAAGTTGATCTTGTTGTAAATAAGACTCCTTTTGTTGTTTAGCAAATTTCTGCTGTTCATGAACAAGTAATGCCTTTCTAGCATTAAGGTCTCTTGATAATCTTTTTTTTTCACGAGCCATGAATGCAAGGTGCTCACGGTGGATGACTTGAAGGTGTTCAGGAATGATTTTTTGTCCTACATGGTAGTCACAGTAAGATTCGGGATTTTCGATTAATAGTTGTACGTCAATAGATTCCTTCAAGGCGTACTCATGTAACTGATGTGCCTGCTTCTTATAATTATTTTCATTGTATGGTTCCTTTTGCTTTCCAAAAATTTGACGTAATACTTGTTGGCTGAACTCTGGTACGACTCGATCTGTACTGCTTGATGATTCGGGCTTGGAGGTCTTTTCAGGGTTTACATTGTTGGTAGAAGGGACCTTTTTCACCATGCGAGGACCGTGTTTATTTTCATCGACACCCATAAAAATATGTCTAATGACTGTTCCTGTAGCTCTTAAAATCTCCATTTGAATATTGAGGAAGTTAAAAACCCTAAAGATTCCCATTGCCTTATTTATAAGAAATTCTTTTATTAGCGTCATTCTTATTGTTGTCTTTATTTACCTTTAATTTAGTTATTAACACCCTCATTATTTGTATCAAAGAGCAACTGGGGTTTTTTTGTCATCAAAGATGAGAAGGTATCTATTGTTGAAGGATTTAAATAGTGGTATAACATTTAAGCCATCTGCTATCATTTTTGATAACTACATCTTGATTGAAAGACACCGTTTAATTATCTAGACATTGACATCATATGGTAAGATAAAAAGCAAGCTTGAACTATATATCTGCATTGATAGCCTTTTCATGTGCAAACACTATTACATCTAAAAACTTTTTATCTTTATAAATACCTTCTTTAGACGATATGCAGGTAGACCGTTTTGGATTAGTTTAGAATCAATCTTTTTCTGTCGAACCATGTTTTTTTGTCTCTTTGTCTTTTTGTATAATGAACATTAATCCATAAAAAAAAAAAAAAAAAAAAGAAAAAGAAAAAAGAGAGCTTTAAAAGCGACTGATAGATAAATTTAACCGGGGTTAAATTCCACTATAAGAGCTGCGTACATTTCCTTTTAATAAAACAAAGATAGATATACTTTCTATCAATAATGTTTGATTGGTGCGCAAAAAAAAAAAAAAAAAAAAAAAAAAAATGCTTGTCTTCAGGCCATTACTTGTTTAAAGAATCACTGCGAAGAGAACGAGGAGAAATACCCGACAATTGATCAGTTCAAATTTTTTACTCTTCCATTTAATTGTGGGGAAATACGGAGGGGAGAACCTAAGGTTTATCTTAACCATATTCAGAAACTTGTCCAGCACTTAATTATCAAAGAACGACGCATTATCACTCAAATTAAACTTGATAGGTCCAAAAACACCGAAAATAATTGTGCATATAAAAATGGGGCAACGGTTTGTTCATCAATGGATTTGGTAGTAACGGCGACAGGCCAACGAGAAAAAAAGATTCGAAAGCTAATATACCAAGGCATAGGTATTTTCTGAGATAGAGGTAGGAAAAAGGACCCATAAAATCAAATCGCGAATTCTTCGAAAAGGTAATTAACAGGTACCATACGAACTAGGAGATTTTGGTGTGGTACGGGCGCATATACTTGACAGGAATTGCAAGTACGAACAAAATCATTATCCTCTTGATTAAATAATTCGGCCATCAATATTCGTGGTACAATTGGACCCAAGTAGCGTTAGTACCCTCATGTCCATGTCTATCGTGACCATAAAACAACAATGCACTTCGATCCTCGATAATTGGAATCATAACACATCTCGATGAAGAGACCCTTCTTCTGTAGAGACGCCCATAAACACCCAATATTTAAGGCCAAGTCTTTTTTTTTCTGTTATCAAGAGCCACATTACCTGAAGAACAGTGTTATTATTGATAATAAAACCTAATAACTTGATTTCATTATGGAAAAAATCACATCTCTCGGAGTTCAGCACCATGTTACATTCAGCGAGACGTTTCAAAAACTTTTTCGATATAAACGAGATGGTCTTTTTTATACTTCAAATATATAGTAACGTCATCCATAAACGTTGTAGATCACGTTAGAAACGGTTGTATGAGAAAATGAACGCATTGAGCATACGCTCGAGAAGGCATTCAACAGGACAAAATGAAGCAACTTGTAGCTGCAGGCACCAAAGTATGTGGCAATTGTCAGCTTGAGGACATTTAATTCTTCTGCTTCAATAGCATGACATTCTTTGAGTATATAACAAGAGGAGGACCAGCAGTGTTTCTATCACGTCGACTACTGAAGGTAATGACCAGGTATCGCGCTTAGTAACCTCATTTAGGCTTGAAAAGCTACAATCATTCTCTTTTTTTTTCATTTGCCTTTTTGACATAGTGACACGGAAAAAGTCAACCTTCATAAGCGGCATTGTTGACATAATGTGAAGTACGCATGAGTTTTACTGCTTCAATCATTTTTTTTAACGTCTTCTTTCATATGTTCTCTTTCCGAACTTCATTCGCTTTTTCACCCGCTCTTGGTGTACCAGGTCCTTTGAGAATGTTTTTCAAACGTTGCTCATCCAACGACACTAAGGTCTAGTGATATTCTTCGGTCAACATGCTTGTCATTTTTATCTTATCTGTAGTACAAGGGCGAATAAGCAACTTTTTGACATGAAATTGTACTTGAGTACACAAAGTAAATAGTTGGGATAGGAAATTTGAAAGATAGGAACGTGTAACAGTTTCGAAACTACTTGGTTTACCAGACATGTTTCTTTATTTCATGTTTATCTTTTCGTATCAACTTCATTAGGTTAAACAGATGATTTAGCGCTGGTTGAACTTGTACTGTTTTTTAAAGAGTTCCATTATTTGTGCCATCATAGGTGTCATTCGATTCGAATTGTTTATTATCTGTTCAGATTGATTTTTTTTGTTTGGTTGAATCGTCGGTTTGTAATTGTTTTCCGATTCACCATTTCCTAAAAGGACCTTAACTGTTGTTACTTTTTCTAGTTAAAATCCTCTCTTTGCACCTCTTGCGCTTGTTCCAACATGAATGAAAGATTTAACCAAGAATCCTTCTGACAAAAAATATGGGTAGCAACTGTAGTTCTTGAGTGTCATTTTCTCCAAGGGATACGGATGGAGATTGGTAAATTGTCTTGCGTTACTTGTTCTACGACCATCTCTGTTGCACCATGAATATTTGCGGTCTTGTCATACTTTATTTTTTTGTTTCGAATTTTTTTTTGTTTAGGTCACATTTGTTGTACAAGTAAGGAGGTAAACAACTGCGGAATATGGGTGCATTTCATGAAGTTCGCCATGTATTCTATTTCAAAAGTGTTAAAATTAGCAGTTTGTTTTTCTGTATAGACACCATCATGTAACCATTTCTTGTGGTAAATACTTGTTCAAGGCTAGGATCTTGATTTTATCGACCCATTTGCTTGCCCTTTTTTTAGTTATTTTTTTTTTTAAAAAAAAGGATTAAAACACCAAAAGAGATGCTCTGGAATGATAGAAATAATGGGGATAGAAGATGAAAGAATAAAAAAATAGGTGCGCTTTATAGCGATTACATCTTCAAACACAAAACTTTTGATATTTGAGTTTACACAATGCAAGAAACGGAAAAACTGGCGTAACATAAATCAGCATAAAAAAAGATTTTGTTGTATCCCAAGTCAAATGATTAAATAAATATTACGTAATTATGACCGTAATCTAGTGCTTTTCATCTATTTTTTATAATCCCTTTTGATTTTGAAATAAAGTACAGACCATTAACTCTTAAAGAATAGTCTTCCAATCAACAGTTCTACAAAACGTCAATAATTTATTTTGTAGCCGGCCGTAAGACCCAAGCTTACAAAAAGCACTGTAAAAGGGCATAAAAAATTGTTTGGTTATATCTTTTAGGAACTCAGTGTTAACTATTTTTGTTTGCTTAAAGTATAGACGGACTTGGGTCTAGTACTCAATTTAAATAGGAATAATCAAAAAAAGAAGGCGCGTTTTAATCACATCTAAATATAAGGGTTACCTGTTTTTGGTAACTCGCATAAACTGATAAAATCTCATCTTTACATAATGTTTTCAGATGTTTATTTACATCAGACCTTTCCTTTTTATCAACAAAACTACCGTGGGAGCTTGTAAAATTGACGTAATCATTCACTAATCACTCGCTGTGATATATTAACAATACCCCAGATTTTTTTTCTTTTTTTTCCTTTTTTTCTTCAATTTTTATTAAAAATTTTAAAAATGGGTAAGGAATCCTCTAGTAAGTTCGTGTCTGTATTTAATATTAATGTCCTTTACCAGAAAAAACGTCTCTTGTCCCCTCCTCTTTCTCTTCCTTTCGGCGCCGGAGGGAAACCCCCCTCCGGCCCACCACCACTAGGGTGGAGTTTTGTAAGTGTATGATTCATCGTTTCTATTATTGTCTATTAACATCGCGTCTTTTTTAGTGCTCCGGCGGTTTCTCGCGGCGGGGGGACTCCTCCTTTCCTCCTTTATGGAGGAAAACAGGGAGGAGTTCCTCCAGGCTGATTACGTCCCTGCGGACGTAATCAGCCGTCTCTGGGAGACTCTAGCTCCACCTGCCGTGGACAGGGGCCTGGAGTACGATTTTCTTCGTCTCCAGGTAGATCAGGCTAGAGTAAGTAAAAAACCCACCTAAAGATATCAATCATAATTACTAAATGTTCTTTTATTATAGTTCTGGAGAGAGACCTACGGTCTCGATCCTCCAGGATTTAGCCGTCCATTTGGACGTCCTCCAATGGCCTCCCAGCCTTTGGAGGAGGGTGCCTCCACAGCCAGTGGGGGTGACTCAACCGTCCAAATGGGATCGTACCCTTCCACGGTGGTGGAGTCCCACCAAGGAAGCCACTCTGCTACCTCTGTTGCCAGCAGGGGTGGTAGAGTACCAGAGTCTCCTGGAGACTATTCATTCTTTTTTGCCGCTTCTCCTTCTCCTCCTTCTCCTCCTGCTCCCGCCGCCTCTTCTTCCTCCTCTTTCTCCGCCTCCTCTTCCGCGTTTCCTGCTCGCGCTCCTTTGTCTGGCTCTGCGCCCTCCTCTTCTGCGGCTTTGCTTCCTCGTCCTCGTCCTCCTCGTCCCGCTGCTCCCCGCTCTGCGGGTTCCTTTATTTCTTTGGCTTCTCTCCCTTCTCTTCCTTCTCTTCCGCCTCCTCCTCCTCCTCCTTCCTCCGGCCGCTCCTCTCCTCTCTCCTTCTTGACTTTGGCCAGTCTCCCTCCCACTCCCTAATAAACGCTTTCCTTTAAAAAAAAACCTCTTTTGTTTCTTATCTTTTAAAGTTAAAAATTATATGTCCAATACTTTTGTCTGAGTAAAAATATTTATTAGAGAAACACTGATAGTCTTTGCGATATTAATAGGATAATCTCGTAATAAACTTTCTTTAAACTTGCTACTAATATTAATTTTCTTGTCTTTTAAGGTCTGTAGAAAAACGCCACTGTTGTTCATGAATGATATTTTTGGCGTATGAAGTATGTAGTGTAAAAGCCTAAGTATTGGGATGAATAAAATAAATAAATAAAAAAAAGCCAAAGATTTTTATATTGGGTCAGACTCTTCTTTCAAAAAAAGCATACATCTTCAACTTAAATCGAGTTTTGAAAATGCTTAAAGAACACAAAAAATAATAAAGAGAGAGAGAGAGGGAAGCTCATTTGACTATTTTGGAAAATCAGATGGTCAAAAGATTTACAATTCAGACAAACCCAAACAGGATCGTGGAGTCCTCATTAAACACAAATATACCGGGGAAAGTTTAGCAACAGCAGATCCTGAAGTTAACACCCCATCCAACAATGAAGTAAATGTCACTTCATACCACTTAAATCAACAGGCCCAAAAGATGTTTTTGGAGGTCATCGCTGAAAGGAATGCGAAGAGATGACGATATGCAACACTCATTTCAAAAGAACAGGAAGAGTAAACTGATAATGACGAAGACAAAGGTAGGGAAACTACATCCACAAGTAATTCTAACTTCATAAGCAGTGCAAGAAACAGGGTCTATTTGTATGGAACTGGTGAAGGATATTTGAAAAAAATTGTAAGTAAAAAGAAGAGAAGCCGAATTAATAGTATGAGACATCAAAAAACGAAGAGAATGATATCCTACGCAAAAAGGAGCTATGGTGTATGGTATTTATTAATTGTATAAACAAGTATGGCGTTGTAGTCAACAGATTCTTTAAAATTCAATATAAAAGTTTTTTTTTTGGAGACCGTAGTACCAGTGTATTCTAATCAATGGCTGTCTGAAATTACATAAGGGGATAGGTTAGAACAACAAGAGCATTCCAGCACTTACACTTAAAAAAAAAAACTCTTACCCCTCAGAACACTAAAAAGGTTGTGTGTGCATGAATAAAATTTTTTGTTGTCTCTATATGATTTCCATCAAGTCAAAATAGCTAGTATTGTTTATTTTATTGAAGAAGGGAAAAGGAATGATTGTTTTATTGCATCAATTTTCAACTTTGAAAAACCTGAAAGGTAAGATATACATAACTTTTATGACATTGCTAGAGTCAAAAACCCTAATTTTACACTTTAAGCGCTACTGCTAGGCGCTCTAAAAATAAGTTGTTTTTATATGATATCAAAATAGCATGAATACTGTAGACGTTTGATCGTAAAAGCACTCTTTCATAACGAGGAAAGTAGTACTGGCGCTAATTTCATTTAAGAATAAAAAAGAAAAAAAAAGTTCTTTTTTTCCCTTTTCAGATTTTTTTTTTATTATTTTCTACCTAAATGACTCTTCATCTTTGCAAACGCAACCAATGCTTTAGGAAACATCCTTAAAGAGCCGAACTCGGTACCAACAATTACAACTACCAATTTGAAAGACAAACGCGTTTCAATGCATTGATGTCTGGCAGTGACAACAGTACTCATGTCCTTACTTTCTTCATGTCAAGAACCAAAAAGTATTAGCAGCCTAATAGAACGACTGAAAATGGAAACAACATTTCCAACACCGAGGCAGTTACCATTAAACAAGGTTCATACACATTGTTTTTTTTTAAAAAAAAAAAACTTTTATCACAAACTAATTTTACAAACAGGAATCTTGAACAACATAAGCAGCAGTAATGTCGAAGAATATGGAGATTTTAGCGAAGAAGCCGAAGATGTAAGCATGATGGTTGACGATGTAGAAGAAGGCGAAGCAGATGCTTGTGCTGAAGGAAATGTCGAAACCAGTTCAAAAATGAGGCACAAATCAGAGCAGACATGTATGCATTGCTTGCTGCCAGTTTTAGGCTCAAGGAAGGCCTCACTGATAAAGCGGTTGATACCCTTATTCACTTTTTAAACATCGCATTGAAGGAAGCCCATGATAGTAGTCAACCTGCTTTGCCAAAGTTGTTCAAAACAATTGAGACAACTTTCAATGGTGATTAGGATACTGGTGCTACCAGATATACCGTTTGCTAAATATGCCATTGAATCTCTGCTTCTGAAGTAACAAAGGTATGATAAACAACTTTCTCAAAATCAACGTCTAATTAATGCATGAAAAAAACACCCTCACAGCAATCATACTCTTTTGTCTCGCTGAACGGTAATGTTTGTTATGAAGCTTGGTATAAGCAGGTAAAAAAACGTAATGGAAAAAAAAACATCTTCAAGCCCAAATTTGTTTATCCTTGCAAGGTGCTAAAACATTCATATCAAGAGTTAATGCTTCGCCCGGAAATCGAATTAAAAATGGACGATTGGAGATGAAGGGATGTTGTTGAAGGAACGTATAACGACATATATGATGATAAAATGTTTAAAAACTTGATCGATAACACCGGTCTTCCATTTTTAAACATTGGGAAATCTGTTATGTGCATCGCGGTGCTATTTACATGTGCATCAATATTGGAAAAGAGAAGACTGATTTAAAAGAGAAAACGTCATTATGGTTGGGCTTATGTCTGTTGAAAAAGAGCCAAAACCGGACCGAATCAATACGTACTTGAAACCCTTGTTTGATGAGCATTTAGAGTTGGAAAGTGGAGTAATGATGAAAATAACAGCGAAACCTGATGAGATTAAAATCAATTGGGCTTTGTCGATGTCAACATGCAATATCCCAGCTTGCAGGGAAGTAGCTCATTCAATTGGGCATGCATGTAACAAGTGTGAAGGTAAATTCCCATTGGTTGAAGGTAAACCCGGTTTTTGTTGGAATTAACACTGTTGCCTGTTCTTGGCCTGAAAGATTAAACGTAGATGATTTGCGAGCCACTTTGGAATGGAGTAATACAACTACTGAGAGAGAAGGGGAGGATCTTGTGAAGGCTAATGGAACAAGGTATTCAGAACTGCATCGATTGGGGGTACTTTGATGCTGTGATACATAGTGTTATTGACCCAATGCACAACCTTCTTTTGGGAACATGCTCAAGACTTGTGAAGATTTGAAAGGAAGAAGGGTTCTGCACAAAAGTCAACATGAAGAAAATGCAAGTTCGTGTCGACTCGGTTACATCACCTGCTGCTTTCGAAAATGTAGACCAAATGATTGCAAGTGGTTTTAGAAATATGAAGGCTGACAACTGGAAAAACTGGTGTTTGTTGTATTCCTCTTTTGTTTTGACAGGTATACCTTATTCATCATAAAAGTTTTTGTCTTTATTAATTTTGTAATGCACAGGTATATTGCCAAAAGAGAACATGGAAAACTGGATGGATTTTGTAAATGGATGCAGATATATTTTGAAAATTGGAATAAAGCGACTCGAGAATGATCAGGCACACCAGCTCTTTTTGGATTTAAATAGGGTAGCTGAAGGTATATACGGCAACAAATGTCTGGCAATGAATCAGCATCTTCATGGGCATCCTGAACAGATCATTGAGGATTTTTCAGCAACTCTCTTTCGAATGTTGCAACGCATTTCTCGGATCATTTAAGAATAACGGCAAAAATATTGAAGTTACGTTTATGAAAAGTTTTGAGAAAAATACAATCTTCAGCATAATACAGTTCGAGCATCTAACAAGGCCGTTATATTACTATCATCATCATCGCCATCCTTCCAATTTCAAAAAGACATGGAAACGTTCTTGCATGAGAGGATTATGGTTGGTGGACGCTTCAATGACTGGGTAAAACGCCAAATTGAAGAAGGGTTTGTTGCAACCGAATTTGCTGAATCTTGTGTCAATTTAGACATTAATGTCACTGGGTCTGAGGCTCTTCCTTTAGGTGTTCTTCCACCGAAAGTTTTAACAAAAACAGTGATGGAGGAAAGCCATATGAATGTCTATTGGATTTTTATGATGCCGCATATCCAGGGGCTATGGCATTTGGTCTGCTGAACTCTGATCTTGTTGCTCCTCCTTTTGGAGCCAGATGGTCAACAACTTCAGTATACATAGAGAAATTTGCATCGATTCGGTTAAGTGGAAAAACAATCAACAGTGCCGAAACAAGATCACCCTCTGGTAGCTGTATAGAAAGTTTATTTATCGGTCAAAGCCACGAGAAAATTGAAGCTTAGCTCTACTTTTCAGACATAGACAAAGGGTTAGTCAGGGTAATGAGGTTTAAGAAAAGTATCATGTTTTTGCTTTTGTTTGATTTTTCAAGCCTTTGAATGATACGTTCTACAGTAACAAGTATAAGGATCAAGGATTGGAGGTCTGGCAATCTTCGTATAGTGACTTGTGTAGAGATTCTGCGGTTCATATTTCCCGAAATTGCTTTGGCAAAGAAGCCTTCAAGGGATACAGTAGATGACCATAGCAACCATATTGTTTTTATACTTTACATAGGAATGTGATTGATTAGTCGTAAAGGTAATTAAGGAAGAAATAGGTGATGTGTTTTGTATTAAATTATTAAACATTATTTTGAATTAGAAATAGAAAAAGAGTTTATTATAAAGTATATTTATAGTCTTCCTCGTCCCACGTTACATATCTTCTGATTCACATCCTTCATGGCTGGGAATATACCCATTGTCCGTCATTGTCGTAGTTTGATTGACTGCATTATAGTCAGGACAAATCATCCACTGTTCTACATCGACAGGTGCTGCTAAATTTTTGTAAAAGACCGATGTCTTCTTACTCCTCTCATTGATATTTTGTCCGTGCTCATCAAGAAATTTTAAAATATTCGCAGCCTGTAAATAGAAAAGGTAAGGATGTTTAAAATAGGAATCTATTTCAATTCGAATAAATAACATCTTTATTATCTTATTACTACGATACATGGGTTTTGGACATACAATGGCTTTTTATTAATGCTATCAATCACGTTCAAATGGTCGGAATCATTATTGGTCTCCTCTTCAGACATGTATCTCAACACAATGAACCGGCTCAATTGGTCTAAGGTCACATTGGTATTTTCAGTTTAGCCTTGACCGCTAGCAGATTCAATGCGAGTTTTCTTCCTTTCAATTTCCGTATTATGAGGTAACTTTTTTATGATACAGATCAATTTTTATATTAAACTGACGTATTTTTTTCTTTGTAAAGCTGTTGCTTTACCATCTTCTCTTCCGCTTTCTTCGTTTCCTCTTGATTGTCCTCTTCTGTCAAACTGGTATAGTCTTCCCACTATTTTTCCATTCGCGACGCAAACTGTTAAATCGAATTTTTATTTTCATCCCTTCAGATAGATTAATCATGCTTACCTTGTCGTTAAAATCAATCATTTTCTCTGTGATTTCAGTATATTAGGACAGAATACGTGCACCAGCTACATCCGTCACATCGGGATTTTTCCCTTGACAAGATTGGATTTCGACACTAAACTGGTCCTGGTCCTTTCACTTCCTTATTTGCTTTCGAATAGCAGTCTATTAAAAGGTCAGAGTTTGCTCAACATCATATATTCAATTTTACTTACTGTCAATCCAGGATTCTTATCCTTATTTTTCTTTTGGATCTCACCGAACTTTTCCACTAAAGTTGCAGTATTATCGGTACCACTAGTAACAGTATTTATGTTCGTTGCAACATCTCCGGAATCAAAAAAAAATTGGTTGTCTCGTCCAAAGTTCTGTCGACAACCATGTCACCTAGTCACAAGTTCTTTTTTGAGTTACTTTTTTCATACTTTTGATAGCAAGGTAAGTGAAACACGATCGTATTACTATTTAGCATAATTTACAGTTAAGAGCATCCACAGTGGTGACAGGTCATATGTAAAATAAAGTTTTTGGCCTCGAGCAACGATAAAAAAGCTTTTTTTGTTTTACCTTAATAAGACCTCTGCGTTTTCTAAAAATTAATGTTTAATCAACAGAAAAAAGCATTCCCTTCTTCGACGAGTTAAAAAATAATTTTTTTTATGCAGACACTGATTGAACGTCCCTCCCCCCCCCTTTTTTTTTGAGGAAAACGGATTTATTTTATTTTCCTTTTATTTTCCCTATTACATCTTTTTTTTAAAAAAAAAAACGTTATCAGACTTGTATGGTATTTATTAAGACACTGTTCTTTTATGTGCTATAAATTTATTATGTGTTATAGATTATGAGGTTGATCAATCATACCTCTGTGCATCTAAGGGTGGCCTGATATTTTACGAATACTTTTTTTACCGTTCTGTCTATCCAAAGGTATGGGGTTATGATTATAATTGATAAGTATACACAACTCATTGTTTCGTTTTCAGGGTCATAATAGTTCTTGTAAAAGAGATGTATCCTGATTTATAAACGTCTATCATGGTATGTGATATAAACGTCTGACTATAGTGTTTTTATTAAGCCCTTCTTAAAATTAGATGTCGATAGTATTAAGTCAATTATTATGGTAGAAACGTCTATAAAGTTCTGCCACTTTTTTTTTTCTAATGTCTGTACAAACACATTCTTGACTTTTGGCTGTTCAGACAGGATAAGAGAAGGCGTATCAACAATCTGAAGAGTCTAGAGCATACCAAAGGGAATATGAACAATCATACTGTCAGAACCGGACTAACAGTACTCCTGAAGAGGTTCTTGGTGATTTATCCCAACTATCTCCACTGGATGCCAAACCGTTATACACCAATAGTATATCAAAAAATGCTGCTCTTGCTCTATTTGGAATTAACATATGGGATGATCTATTTAAGGTTGATAGATTGGAGTAGATAATGAGACAAAGTGATGATTTGCAATTTTACATTGTCTTGAATAGTATGGCTATTGGAAAAAATGACACCTCAATACATAAATCTGTTTCAGAGCAGGGTTTTGCCTGTGACAGCTGAAGAAATGAACTTGTTATTATGCAGAGAGAAGATATATCCCCATTTATGTGAAAATGCTGATCAGCTCTCAGAAGAAAGGCCCATTTATCTGTTTAATCGAAATGCAAATGTAAGAAGTATGAATAATGCAATTGCTGATACTATGGATACCGAGAGTGACATTTATGTTGGCTTTGATTGTGATACTGGTGAAAAGACTATGGCCGGCGAGAAAAAGTTCGCTCTCGAATTAGTACGTGATGATAATTCAAGACATTCTTTATTAAAAAATCTCATCTTACTTAAACAGCTGAAGCTAAAAATCAATGCAAGATACATAATAATGACCAACATAAGTAGGGCAGATGGCATCGTTAATGGAACAACTGGTTGTATAAAAAAAAAAGAAACGACTATAGGACATTATATACCGCAAGCTTAAATTCATCTAGCTCTACGGACAATAACAAATCAATGCGACTTTGGATCAAGTTTAAGGATAAACGAAGTGGTCGGAGGACAAAGTCTGATTCGCCTGCAAAAAAATGAACGTTTTTGCATTTTTTCTTAAATTAAAATTTTTATTGGACCATATTTTTTATTTTTTATTTTATTTCAATATTGAATACCCCTAATGCACCTATTTAAAAATACCATTGACAAGGTCTGAAATGGATAGTCGGAATGATCGTCAAAATGTCCTGAATCTTTGGAAGTTACAGTGTATTTTTAGATGTATTATATTTATCGTCAATAGCTCACATATGTTCAGCAGCATTCCTAATACCCTTCTGACTAGATATATCTCCTCCCTTTTTTTTAAAGATTCGATACTCATCACTCTTTCGGTTTGCCCTTCTTTGTTTCATTCTGTTTCAATTGACACTCACGCAGTGTAGAAAAAACAATCAAAGGCACTCTCAGCATGGATAAGATTTACAAGAACTGCTATCTAACGTTTTAGAGACACTGGTGCATTTCAAATACAAGCAACTTCTGGAAGGCCAAAAAAGATCAATATTATAGAAATAACAGCGTTGCAGCGCTTATGCGTTCTACCAAACAACTGTTTAATCAATCAAGTATCTGATAAAGCACTGCGATATTTGGAATTGTACACGGTGAGCATGAGTAGAGTCAATATCAATTATAAGTGCAAGACCACCAGCTATGTTTCCAACCGTGGCAGGGTCAACCCCAGCAAGATTGTTATGATGGGTTTGCCTGATGGATTTGTATTACGCGAACAAGGGTGGATAATGGGTGACTGGTTAGACGGCGATGACGAAGAAGACAATGGTTATTTTTACGAGGAGGAGGATGGAATTATGTGTTGAAAAATGGACATAACACTCGTAATAGAATTTATGGCCAACGTCGATACCAACGCAAGCATTGATACATTAAGAAACGAGTTTCGAAAGCTCAATTTGAACGGATATATAGCCCCAAAAAAAAAACTATTCGTTAACGAGAAGCAAAAAAAAAAAAAGTTTAAACTTTACAAAGAAACATCAAAATTGGAGTTTGGAAGATTGGAGGAAAGGTGTATTTACAGATGAATCAGGATTTCAAGCTAGTAGTTGTTCTAGTCTGGTTAGGGTACGCCAAAAAAACCCCAGTCAAATCATGCTTGGCACCAAAGTCTCAAAGTAGGCGATCTTCCTTATATGTATGGGGTGGTATCGGTTACGACCGTCGCTCTAATTCGGTTTCACATAAGAAGGGTAAAAGGTCTAGTGTTCATATATATGAACTGGGTTTAAAGGACTTCTATGACTGCTCAAGTTCAGTAATTTTCATGGAAGGTAGTGAACGAATTCACGAGGAACAATCCTATTTGTGTTATTAGTCACGGCTCTACAATTTTGATTTGTACATCTGTCATAGGAACAAAAAAAAAAAAACTTAGATAAACAAGTTATCAACAACTAAAATCAACATACCTTAAGAGACCATGTCTAGTTACACGAAAATTTGCTCTTCGTCTATGAGGGCGTGGGGTATCAACCATCCGAAATTTTTCAAGACTTCTACATTCACAGGCTGGGCAGCACTGACTTGCTCCAAATTCATTGTTGTACTGACAAGGATTATTTCGTCCGAAAAACAATTTTACCATTTCATGAATATCGCACTCATAGGGTTCCCAGTGAATATCATTACACTTATATTAACATAACTAAATAAGCTCACAACATTTGGCTTTTACAACATCTAAATCAATACAAAATTAACTAGAGGAGCAAGCAAAAAATAATAATAGATCGTGTTATTGAAAAAAGGGAGAAAAACAAAGAACAATGAAATTCGCATGAAGCAATAATAAATGCACTTTTTCTAGCTCTCATTTTATATCTATCTCTTTTGAAAGAAGGCACATACCTCATATTCATTGTAGAAAAATTCAGAATGCTCAAAAATTATACGAAAGCAAACGGAAAATAATTGTGTAATTCAAAGTAAAATAAAAATTGCTTGGAATTAATAGGTAGCTAATTCCAGATACCCCTAATACATGCAATGAAAATAAAACTTTATTTTAAGTAAAAATATAAATGCCATGTTCTTGTTTGTTTGTTCAGTTTTGGGGTTTGACAAAAAAAAAAAAAAAAAAAAAAAAAAACGGGTTACCTTTTTAGGGTATCAGGTAAAGAAAGAAGTCTGGTGCATTCATATCCATTCTTTTCGATATACTTATCCAATTATATATCTGTCTCCAATAAGCGTGTTGTTCATGACGAGGTAGTGACATTTAATTTACCCATGGTAACGCAACACATCTAGATTGTTGATTAGAGAAAAATAAGGGGGAGGTGGGTGGGTGAATAACAACAATGTCAAGTATTGCTCGTTTGTGTGTATCAAACTAGGCCAAAAAAGAAGACAACTATACAAAAAAAAAAAAAAAAAAAAATTGGTTTAAACCCAATTGTTCAATCTTTAAGAGCAAACCAAAGCAGGCTAGTCTTTTAGATGAAGTGAGGCTTTAAAATAAGAGTTACATGCGCATGCAAAAGGTCACTTATTCGTGCCCTATAATATGATGATACATTTTCCAATGATACATTTTTTTTCCTACCTTAGCAGTATATCCATCTAATGATAAAATATTTATTTATCTTTCGTTTATTTCGTTTGTAGACTATATTATGCATGGAAAATTAATCGATTTTTATTCGATTATTTTATTCTAAGCGTGCACGATTAATTTATGAAAATAGTGTGTAACGTGTTTTTATAAGGGGGTTTCTCTTAAAAGTCTTTCAAATATCATGTAATAAGATGGAATATGTACGCATGAGCTAGTTACAAGGTGGAGCGTTCTTTTTGGAGAGGACCGTACAAAAAACAATAGCTTTTATCGAACAACGGCACAGCTATTTTATTATGTCCTTTTTTTTTTGTAGGGAAAGGCAGCGCAGCTGTCTTTCAAAATCTGAAAAATGTCCTGGTGGGAGTTGAGACTAAGGGGTTATTTTGTTTTTATTTTGTTTTAAAAGTGACGAAGCATAATGTCAAAGAGTTACATTGGGTACAGCAAGGCGATTGAAGTAGTTTTTCTCACATTGTTGTTAAACGGCGAGCAATTGGAAGTGTAGTTGTCATACAACTGAATTGCAGAATGGAAGCACCGTTGTGGTTGTGAAAGGTTGATCGTCAAAGACTAGTTTCCAACGAGATCTCCAGATCCCAAGTAATTTACAACTAGTAATGGAGACAAAAGATAAAGGAGTAGTGACAGTAGATTTTTTGTGGTAATTCACCATAATCAAGCGAAAGCAGTATAGCAAGTATTCTACCAGGTTCAATCAGCACGTCTGGAAAGAAGATTGATAAATCACTGGATCCTGATAGACTGTTTATAGGAGCAATCATACAAAAAGTGATTTAATGTATCCTCAGTTTGGGGACAATGGATACAAGCACAGAAAGGAGAGAATCGGGGATGATGTCGTGTAAGAGGCTTTGTTGCGTAACTTGTGATTACTCGCCCGATACCATACAGTAAGAATGTTTGGAGATATAGCTAGATCTTAAAACGTTTCTCATTTTTTTATACTGAATGGTGCAGGTTTCGGAAGGAATAAGGATTCACGCAAAAGAACTCCCAATTATTTTGGTTTATCTAATGTTAAAATAAGGTGGACATTTGAGTCTCAAAAAGAGGACGGAGATCAATAGGCTCAGTAGACTTTATACTGGTACCCAAGAGACGACGAAAGTTACCGTTTGGCGAATACACCCATTGTCTATTGTTACCCGAAATTTACGAAGGAGCGTAGGTAATCTAGCCTCACAATCAGATCGTTGTCAAAGTATATGTGTATTGGAATCGACAATAAAGAAATTGCGTACCAAGGCTTTAGACATCCTGGCGCTACTGACGCTGTTATGGGGGAAATCACAAGAGTGTTGGAAGCTGGAATTACAAAGGAAGCCGGAGCCATCTGAAGAAACGTGATCAATGACAAGTTTGGCTGGTTCAGGCAAAAGGACTGAATACACAAATCAAGTTTGTAAGTCAGTTCGATCCAGGCTTTAGGGTTAGATTTAGTGGGGTCAATTGATCTATCCAAAAAGAAAGCCCCATTGCCACAGAAGGCTGCGCTGGATTCGTCGTCTAGGTAAATGGTGATGTTTTACACGTTACCGAATCGAAAAAAATTATTGACCAAAGTGGCGTATAGGAGGTCGGCTTCTGACAGAAAAGGTAATTTCGAACAATGGACCTTCAAAATGATGTTATCCTGAGGAACAGCAGGAGTGGCATATGACTTTCTGTCTTGCCTGATAAGAATAGGAGTGTTAACGGCATCGTCAACAGCTGATTGGTCATTTAAAATAACTTCGATAATTTTGCCCTGACGATCATCTGTAGCACATTACGTGCTTTTTCACGTAATAGATTCAAGAATTCTTTTTCAATAAAGTAAAAAATGTCACGTTTATAACTACTGTTGCGATGAATGAATGGTTTTTGATCTCTAAGGTCAGTAATTGGTTTGAAGACTGTGTCTCTAAGAGAAATTGTACTTCGAGATTTCGAATTGGGATTATTTGTGTATGCTCGAGGTGGTAAGGCTCGTGCAGCCACATCTCGGAAAGAGCGTGTTAGTGTCTTTGAAGGTCCAAGATTATGGTTCTTAAGAGATGTTGAGGGTACCGTCATGTTTTTGAAGCGAAAGAAAGCCGCGTGAGCCGATTTTATTACGTCGTTTAAATTTAAAGGAATAAAATGAAGGTCGTTTTTAAGAAACAAGCATGAACTAAAATTATACTTATTATAAGGCGAAGGTTCACCGGCTGTCTAACATTATCATAAGTTGCCATGTAGAAGGGAGAGGAAATTGATTAAGTTATGGCGCAGAGAAATCGTTATTTGACATATAAAAAAAAAAATGATACAAAATCACAGGCAGCAATTTATAGCACTCTATTAATCGGTACAAATGAAAATTAAAAAGGCTGTCAATAGATTCCACTTTAAAGTGTCTTTTATTATTGCCCTTGAGTGTGGATTGAGGATTAATATCATAATTTTGTTTGCAGCCTAATATAGTTTACAGCTATGGTAATATCAACTTGTATTGTACGTTAAGGCGTTGTATTCTTAATTAACTCTCATTTTTTTTTTCAATTTTGACTGCCAGACCCGTACCATTGAAAGTACAAAGCATCGAATTTCGTCACTCAAAACATTACTATATAAACGTTACTATGAGTAGGCATTATATCATTCATTCTAGTTTCAATAGAGTATATTTTACTTCGGTTGTGATATATTGATGCCGGTAAAAGAATCGGAGACATTAGGAAATTGTGAGCGTATATAGCTGATTTCTAAGTTGATTGCGAATAATTTGTACATGAAGTTGTTAATAATTCTGTTTACAACACAAGCTTTCTTTTCGGTGTTTCACAAAGTTGACATCCCTATTAAAACCAACATAGTTTTTAAAATAGAAAATCCCTTTTGATACTGTTGTTGCTAATTTACGATCCTCAAAGTTATTGCTAATATTCATAAAATAACATGGCTTTGAATCGCATACGATATTACCAATCTTCAATACTGTTATTCTGAAATGTATTCCCGTTAGGCAAAGACGAGAAAACCAGTAATTTGGGAAGTCGCTTTGCATATTGTTGAAAAAATGATGAGATGTTTTACAACATATCTGTCATAATTTCATAAACAGACTTTGTTACAAACGTCATTTATTTATCTAATTAACTTGTTCCTTGTTAAGTTGGTGCATACAATGCGGACTTGTCACGTTTGTTGTATGCGATTTAGTCACTCCCAGATTCAACTTTTATAAGCATACACATA